TTACGCTAGTTACCTCACAGAAACAACTAGTTTTTGTTTTTTGCGGAATGAACCTTTAATTATAATTCAACTGTAGCGTGTGCAGAAAAAGTAAAATTGTGGAAATTATTATTGTATTAGTAATTTTATTAAAATATGGCCTATATTGATTTTTTTTCTTCACTGTGGGCCGACAGTAGCTGCATTGAATTTAATTCGTGACCGGTAGTTAACCTCGTCAACGCTGCGTGGCCTATTCGTTTATATAATCAGTGATGCTCGTTCAGTGGCCTTTTTCAAAGCTAGGCCTAATTTCGGGCGATTTTTAGACTTATTTGATAGGCCGTTAGCCTTTTTCATTGCTGCGTATTTTAAACAATGCTTGTTCAGCGGCCTTTTTTTTTTTTTTTTTTGGCGCTAAATAATCTGTTTACGGGCATTTTAAGCGTTTATGTGTTTATTATTTTTAAAGCTAGACGTAGATCTAGTTTTAAAAAATGTGCGCGAGCATCATTTTCGTCTGTTAAAATTACAATTGGTTTAAGTTCAGGATGGAGATCTTTTATCGTTTTTTTTTCTTGACAGATTTTATCAAGATAGATCGACTTCAAGTTGATATTGAATATTTAAATTACTTTACCTTACTACATTAAACTACATTTGCTTTATCTTTTAAGAGAGTAGACAAAAAAAATTAAGCTAAGTTTTAAAATTAGTCTTAGTTTTGTATCCATTCGGCTCTACTCTATTATAATTTGCTTGAAGAAGGGGGGGGGGGGGGGGGGGGGGGGGGAAGAGAGAGAAAGAAGTGAAGACACCGACGATCTCGTGTACGCGTGTTCATTCTATGACGTGTACTACAGGCCTGCTGACCGCACAGTGACCCCTCGACCGTGGTGGGATTTTTCACCGCGGGATAGTAAACATAAGCAAGCAATCACGCGAGTGACGATGTTTGGAGATTTTATTAAAAAAAAATTACACGTCACGTTTTCAATATGAAAAAAATGTAATGTAAAAAAAAAAGACACTAATACCGTGTATGAACTTCAGCTTCCACACTGTTGACTCAATATAATGTGAATTGAGTTAGGCCTATTTCTTGTATTTATAGACTATCATAACAATCATATTATTTTAAGCATATTTAATAAAATTAGAATTTGAAATAAAATATTTTTTATGGTAATTTGAGTTATGCAAGTGTTCATTATTTCATAAAAAATGGTATGAATAACATGTAGAGTAGAATTTGTAATGTACATTTTCCTTTACCAATTTCATAAATAACTAGATCTAGTTTTATTATCAATCAGTTGGTTTTTTTTTTGTTATTTTCCGGTGAGTAAATAACCTAAGTTGACACACCCCTTAAAAAACTTGTGCACACCAGTTCACGACGTCATGCCATGCCGGCAGGGATCGAGAACGTGGGTTTTGTCATTCATTTTCCATTCTAGACAAATTTTAAAATTGTCTCTTTTCTCGTCAACTGAGTAAGCTAGATATTTAAATGTGGTGTCAAATGTTCTCTTAAGGGGTAAGGAACTTAATAGTGTATTTGAAATAACAGAATATTTTATTTAAAAAAATCCATAATTAAACCTATAAATTAGGCCTAATCAAAAGCCACAAAAGCTATTGATTTTGAAAGGACTCGGACTGGTAACCAATGATGGGCAATGGCTCTGGCTTTGTAGATCTACAATCAATTACAATTTATTATCAATGCAATATCAAGGCTATTATTACTGTTATTTATTACATTTAGTTATTTTAGTATTACTAGATTGTAGATCTAGATCAATTTAGTTGTACTAGATCTAGATCTAGATTATTTTGATCTAATAATAATAAATAATATTTATAGTATAGGCCTATATTGGCTATAGACCTAAAATTACTTTAAAATCTAGTAAATAGTACTAGATCTATTTATTAGGCCTAATAAATAACTTAATAATAATAATAAATTAATATGTTATTCTAAACACAGATACAAGTGAGACAATTAGCTTTATGAAAAATAATATAATTATTTTAGCATATTTATAATTTTAAAATTATTAATTATTATGTAGGCATGTCTATTTTAGTATTTTTATTTAATTTGGAAACTTCACTATTTAGATCTACAGCATTAATAATGTATCAATGTTTTTCTGTTAGTGTAACAAAATAGACATTGACGTATGGTTATATTTATCTTAATCTCGTTCATTTATGCCTGTTAGAATTTTTATTTTATTCTCTTTGATTTAAGCTTATACCATTTTCCACGAGTTACAGCTGCTGTATGAAGTATGAAGAAAATGCGAATCAAGCTAACCAGGACAGTACAGCTTTTAAAACAGATCTCCTCACAGGGTGTTAGCAGTGGTAGGATATGTTGTCACGTATCTGGGGGTAGCCATGTGTTGCATTCAAACTCGTGTTCAACTTTAGCCAGTGCGCATTCCATGCCAGCATTGCAAGAGGAAGCGACTCTCAAATTAAAGGTAGGTTCTGCGTGAATATGTTGCTGGCTAAAAAGAGGTTTAATGTACTTTATCTAGTAGTTCTGGCAGAGGATTTTTGACCCATTCAGGCTATTGGGGCAAAAAGTCAATTTACGCCTCCCCTCTCTCCCCCCCCCCCCATTTAGGTCTGTATATAGTTATTCCAGCTGGCCAAAAAGCGCCAACCCCCACCCCCCCCCCCCCAAATTTGGAAAGATTGAGGCACTTTTCACCAATCACTTTTCTATAACAATCTTTTCTTTAGTGTCAGAGAATCAATATAGAAAACTGTTAAATCAGTCTGTAACGCCAAGTAAGTTTCCCTTTCAAACCTGACGGTCTATGGGGCAAGTGAAGTAGAGTTCACCTGTTTCTGTGAACTCGGCATATGAAGAGATAGTGTGGTCAGCACTATGCCCAGCCGGTAACACCAACTAGTAGTCTATTTTCTTAACTTTGACTTTGTATAATTCACAAATGCAGCTCAAAGTGAGCTTTTTTTTTTTTTTTCTACTCTGTTTGGCACACCCTCTGGTTAAGCTTTGAGTTTTCTACTATAGACAATGGAGATGTTTTCAAACATTGCTATCAAGGACCATTTGCTAAAAAAATTGGAAACAAGCTTCATACAATCCTTTAATTTTCATTTAAATTCCTGGCTTGTTGTTATATTTGCTTAGCAGCATCTTAGCATACCACATTGGTTAATAATCTTACCACTAACCCTCAACCAAACATGGTGTTAAGGTGTGTTTAAGTGAACGTATTCTGATTATGTTGTGTTACTGACTTAGTACTTAATTGATATACTCTTACATTTACTATTTACTCGTACTATTTATTTTATAAGTTTTCAAAACTAGTTTTTCCGTCATTTTTCTAGAAATCTGTAAAAGACAGGGTTGCAAACATTGACCGTCCATTTCATGATTTTCTCACTGATACCTTTGGAAGACAACACACATATTTGAGGATTTCTCTCACTGAGCGCTGTAACCTTAGGTGTAAGTTATGTGTTGTAGATTGTGGCTGTAACCTTAGGTGTAAGTTATGTGTTGTAGATTGTGGCTGTAACCTTAGGTGTAAGTTTTGTGTTGTAGATTGTGGCTGTAACCTTAGGTGTAAGTTATGTGTTGTAGATTGTAACTGTAACCTTAGGTGTAAGTTATGTGTTGTAGATTGTGGCTGTAACCTTAGGTGTAAGTTTTGTGTTGTAGATTGTGGCTGTAACCTTAGGTGTAAGTTTTGTGTTGTAGATTGTGGCTGTAACCTTAGGTGTAAGTTTTGTGTTGTAAATTGTGGCTGTAACCTTAGGTGTAAGTTATGTGTTGTAGATTGTGGCTGTAACCTTAGGTGTAAGTTATGTGTTGTAGATTGTGGCTGTAACCTTAGGTGTAAGTTATGTGTTGTAGATTGTGGCTGTAACCTTAGGTGTAAGTTATGTGTTGTAGATTGTGGCTGTAACCTTAGGTGTAAGTTATGTGTTGTAGATTGTGGCTGTAACCTTAGGTGTAAGTTATGTGTTGTAGATTGTGGCTGTAACCTTAGGTGTAAGTTTTGTGTTGTAGATTGTGGCTGTAACCTTAGGTGTAAGTTATGTGTTGTAGATTGTGGCTGTAACCTTAGGTGTAAGTTATGTGTTGTAGATTGTGGCTGTAACCTTAGGTGTAAGTTTTGTGTTGTAGATTGTGGCTGTAACCTTAGGTGTAAGTTATGTGTTGTAGATTGTGGCTGTAACCTTAGGTGTAAGTTATGTGTTGTAGATTGTGGCTGTAACCTTAGGTGTAAGTTTTGTGTTGTAGATTGTGCTTTTAAAAAAAAAAATACATGTTTAATATTAGTTTATTTACAAGTACTTCATATTAGAAATGTGTTTGATTTCATGATTATCAAAAGTATCATTAAGTAAATTTTTGTTCTAGTGTACTATTTAATCTTAAATGAAAAATAAATTTTGCAACTTGTTTTGATATGCTTTTATGATTTTTCATATAAATAAAAATAAAAAAAACCTTCATGTTTTTCACAAAAATACATGTTTTCGTTATTTAAGTTAAAGTAACCATTCTGTTTTTCACATGATAGATATGTGTTCATTAAAGCAACTTTACCATCTTCCGCCCAACAGGTCAGTACTGTATGCCTGCGGAGGGCGTGACCCTGTCACCAAAAGACAACATCCTCAGGACGGATGAGATTCTCCAGCTGTCGCGGCTGTTTGTCTCTCAGGGTATCACCAAGATCAGACTCACAGGTGGTGAGCCTTTGGTGAGACCAGACCTGCAGCAAATCATTGGTGACTGGAGACATTTTTTTTTAATTAAATTTTTTTTGTCTAGTTCATGACAGTGGTCTAGCGGTAGAGTGCTAGACTGCTAACCTGAAAGTCTATAGTTAATGACAGTGGGACGGTGTGGCCTAGCGGTAGAGTGCTAGACTGCTTACCCGAAAGTCTTAGAGTTCAAATCCGGGTTCAAGTCAGTGGAATGTCTCTGAGCACACCCAGCTCTGATGGGTACCTAACTCACATTATGGAAAGTAAAGGCTGTTGGGCATAGTGCTGCATAAACTACCCCTTCATATGCCGAGGTCACAGAAACAGATGAACTCTACTTCACTTGCCCCATGGATCGTCAGATTTGAAAAGGGAACTTACCTCATGACAGAATTTAATTTCATGCTTGATTTGATTTTAAAACTATATCAGTTGTGTTAATGATGTGTTAGGTCTAGGAAAAGAGACCTAATGGCTAGTAGGTGGGTTGAAGTAGAGTTCGTCTGCTTCTGTTCCCTCTGTATAAGAAGAAATCATGGTGAACTATGACCGGTTAGCTTTCTTTGTGTTAGTACAGTGGTGTTCTGAAGAGTTAACAGATTCAAGCTAGCAATAGTGCACTCTACAGCTTGACCACAGGCATAAACAGTATTGATTATATTTTAATAAGTAGATCAGGGCCCATCTATAAACTATTTTTCAGGATCATGTTACTTTAATTAATTATGTATTATTTAGACACAATTAAAATATTTGTACACCCCCCCCCCCCATCTCATACTATCTATTTAAATATGGAGAATCTTAGCACCAGAGTACAACATGTTATCACCCAAATTTATATTTAAAATATCAATTACAGATTGCCTCAATAATTCTTAATATTTAAAAAAAAAATTGTACAATAATTACAATTAAGTAAACATGTCACTTATTCCCTGTAATTAACACTGACCTTATATTTTGGCAGAGGGGTTAAATGAACTCAGAAGCATTGGCCTTAAGAACATTGGCATCACCACCAACGCTGTGACGCTAGCCAGGAAACTGCCAGATCTGAAGGCGGCCGGACTTGACCAGATCAACCTGAGCCTGGACACGCTGGTGCCAGCCAAGTTTGAGTTCATCACCAGAAGGCGAGGCTTTGAGAAGGTCATCAAGAGCATTGAGAAGGCTTTGGAGCTGGGTTATAACCCTTTGAAGGTAATTTTCTACAGAAAATGTTTAAAAATTAATTGCATTTAGACATTATAAATTTGAGAATTTCATCAAGAGCATTGAGAAGGCATCAGAGCTGGGTTATAACCCTTTGAAGGTAATCTTCTACAGAAAGTATTTAAAAATTGCATGTAGAAATTATAAATTTGAGAATTTCATAATGAGCATTGAGAAGGCTTTGGATCTGGGTTACAACCCTTTGAAGGTAATCTTTAAAGAAAATGTTTAAAAATTGCATGTGGTTGTTATAAATTTTAGGTCATCAAGCTTTGAGAAGGTTTTAGAGCTGGGTTATCACCCTTTGAAGGTATTCTTCTACAGAAAATATAAAAAAATTGCATGTAGATATTATAGTTATCATCATTGTGTTGACCAGAAAAATAGACATGATTAATTACTGTTGTGACAGGACAGTCTAGTTAGACAAGATTATAACTCCACATCAGCACTAATTTGACAGACCAGCAGTGTTGAGATGGACACTTTACCGTGACCAGATACTGAAAACATTGTAACCTTATCAAAATGCATTACCTACTGTGGTCAGTAGTCATCAGCTTCAAGCCATGTACAAACTGATGCACGCCTTTTGAAAGTCTACCTGATACTTGGGTTGAATTTAGAGAACTTTTACCTTGTATCTAGTTAAACAGCCCCATTTTATTACAGCTATGTTTGATGAATAAACTTTTAGCTGTAGTTAAACCAGTTGATATATTCAGTGGATTTACTAAATGATTGTACTGTACTGCAATGTTTTTGTAAACAAAATTAGGGAGGTCATTTTTGTTTTCAGAGCTCTTCATTTTTGATGTTAAAGTTTGTTTTTTCCATAAAAGTTTGTACAATTTTTTGTATACAGATCAACTGTGTTGTCATGAGGGGCATGAATGAAGATGAGATTTGTGATTTTGTTGCCTTCACAGAAAACAAAGTAGGTGTAATCACTAACTGAAGTTAGAATGTAGTTAAATTTACAAAAAATGTGTTAAAAAAGCTAACATTTTCTGTTATTTAGAATCTCCTAAAATGTACATGAAATAAGTTTAAGGCCAATGGAAGCTTTGAAATCATGAAATTTTTTTTATTTTAACTTATTCTATCTTAACTGTTAGGTCATAAAAATAATTTAATTTTTCAAAATGTAATGTAATTTTGTAGTATCAGTTTGCTACATGTCCCCTATTGTTGATTGCCCAGGCAGTGGATGTCAGGTTCATTGAGTACATGCCCTTTGGTGGCAACAAGTGGAACACACAAAAATTCATGTCCTACCAAGAAATGCTGGACAAAATCTACACAAAATGGCCGACATTTGCCAAGCTGTCTGATAAACCCAATGACACATCCAAAGTAAGAGTTGTCTTTCTTGAAATAAAATGTGCTTAAAAATGGTGAATGACATATTTTTTAAACATTTGAATTTAATTAATTCTCTTATTTGCAGAAAAAAAAATCACAGTCATTGCACAAATGGTTTTAGAAATGTATACACAATGAAAAATTGTTTATCCTTTAATAATAAGTTATGAGGTATGGTAATCAAGCATATTAAAAGTCTGGCATCATGGTCTAGTGGTTTAAGTATGATCCTGTATTAAATGTGGAGGTGTAGTACTGTGTAGTCACCCAAGTGTGATGTATACGTTTCAAATGCTAGGTATCCATTAAAACTGAGTAAGCATATAGATACTCTGTGATTAAATAAATGAGTACCCATCTTAATACAGTTTAAACACATATTTGGTGGTGGTGCTGTATAAGATTCTGAAGACTACTTTGTGTTAAGAATTATTAGAAAATCTGTGAATGTAATCTTGTACTGTAGTAATGCTGAAGCTTGTTACAATTTTATTATTTCTGGTGTATAAAGTCCCAGGGTAATCTTGTACTGTAGTAATGCTGAAGCTTGTTACAATTTTATTATTCCAGGCGTATAAAGTCCCAGGGTTTGCTGGGCAGGTCGGGTTTATCACATCCATGAGTGAGCACTTCTGTGGGTCTTGTAACAGGCTTCGTATCACAGCTGACGGAAACTTAAAGGTCATTTTTGTTTCTTTTTTAAATTAATTAGTTTCAATAAGTTTTAAAATTAAATTGATAGTTTAATTTTTTAAATTCTATTGGTATTTCTATATAATTAAAAAACCTTTTAATTACTAACTTCACTTAAAAATCCTTGAAATTAATTAACATCACTTAAAAATTAATTGAACTAAATTACTTAAAAAATTTCTTGTACCTAACTAATACAGGTGTGTTTACATGGAAACTCTGAGGTTTCACTGCGGGACTGTCTGAGACAGAACTTACCTGAGCCTGAGTTGTTGGAGGTGATTGGCGCTGCTGTTAAGAGAAAGAAGCGACAGCATGCAGGTTTAAAACGTTTATTATTATTAAAATTGAAAAGCAACAGTAAAACTCTTTTCCTTCAAGAAATATTTTTTGTACTTTACTTATTGTTTGGATATGTTGTTAAGATAAAAACAACAACTAGCGTTATCATGGTCATATTTGGTTTATAAAACTTATTTTTACCAAATTCTATAAACTGTTAGTTTCTTGAGGCTTTTTTGTTTTGTTGTTACTCATTCACATTTTGACTGTACATAGTTCACAAATGTTTGTCAATGTCAATATTCAGAGCATTAACACCAGTCATTATTTTTTTTTTATTTTAAACTTTGAACCTTTTTTCTTTGTCTCAGGTATGACCAACCTTTCAAAAATGGAGAACAGGCCTATGATACTAATTGGTGGGTGAGAACTGGGCTTACTTGTCTGTAAGTTTATATGTTGAGCAAGCACTAGCTGAGATAAAAATCATACCATAGCTTATAATTTTCATTCAGTTAGGACCACACCCCAGTCAGGTGTACTGTTAAAAGAAGGGAGTTTACAATTTTGGCTTTGCTGTACGGAAGTTAAACTCCTGAGATTTATTTAATATTTTTCTCCCCTATTTTCTTTATTTTAAAAAATACTTTGGTCATCATGGCAGAGTCAATTAAGATTATGGTTGCTGAACCGAAAAGTTTCGAGTTCGAACCGCGGGCAGATGAGGCTTGTTAGCTGGGGACAGCAATTCTTTTAGGAGAGACAACACCAAAATCAAACAACTGCTGCCTTGTAGTTTGTTCTTGGTTGGACAAAGGCTATGGAAGCAAATCCAAAAGAAAATCAGAGGCTAATATGGCGCTTAACAAGTTAACATATTATACTTAATTGTGTTGGAAATTCTTATCAACATTACAATTAAGAACAAAGATGAAGAAAAAATACTCTTTGATTAATTTATTTAAAATATTCTAATATCTACTTGATTAACTTATTTAAAAAATTTTAATATCTACTTGATTATAAATCTTTTTTTACCAGTGATATTTTCTGATATTTAATTTATAAATGTATTTAAAAAGAAAATGATTGACCTTTTGATTTAAGGTTTGTTCATTTACTTATAATCTGTCTAGAATTCCTTGATCTTATTCCAATACTTGAATGCTTATGTCTCTCATCTTCCTCAGGTAAAGATGTAATCAAAACAAATGTGATACAGAGAAAACATGCCGCAAGTTATTTATTTACACTCAGAAACAGTCTATCATTTCCTTTATTGTTTCACCAGTCCATACCTACTTTTGTCCATCATTTTTCTACTTTCGCTGGTGGAAGCTCAATTTTCTCAATCATATGTTGTACAAAAACATCGTTATTTTACAATTGTTATTCAGATTTTCAGAATTCCAAAACTGTATGTTTGTATAGACATTTCTGTACTGTAAAAACTATTTCTGATGTACATAAGAACTTAGAAGAGTCCTGTTTAAAAAATCAGGACACTGGTTCACCTTTAAGTAAGTTGTCCCCCTGTAAGCCTGGCTCTAATAATAAACACAATACAATTACTTCCCCTGAAACCCAGGAAATGCCAGACCATGCAGAGTTTGAGGCTTATGCTAGACAGTATCATGATCTCATGAATAGAGAAGCAAGTGCAGGAAGCCATAATGGGGTTGAGAAATCTGCAGTTGATAAGAGTTACCCACAAATGTACCACGAACTGATGAATAGCTCATCGCATAAAATAGTTGAAGGCACTGGCACAGCCCAACAGTTAAGCCACACTGACTCCAGTGGGAGGGCTGTTATGGTAGATGTGGGTGGTAAGGGAACATCCTTACGTGAAGCCAGAGCCCAGGGTGTTGTTTTACTGGGACCTGAGGCAGCGCGGCTCGTGGCCGAGAATAAGATGAAAAAAGGGGACGTGCTGACTGTGGCCCAGTTGGCCGGGATCATGGCGGCCAAGCAGACGGCTCAACTGATTCCGTTGTGTCATAACATAAACCTGACCAAGGTCGACGTGACCTGTGAACTGGATGTTGAACGCCATGCCGTTGTGGTCAAGTCTCTGGTCAGGACGGTTGGGCAGACTGGGGTGGAGATGGAAGCGCTGACGGCGGTCAGCGTGGCGGCCTTGACCGTGTATGACATGTGTAAGGCTGTCACACATGACATGGTCATCTCGGATGTCAAGCTTATATGCAAGGCAGGGGGGAAAAGAGATTTTCAGAGGTAACTTCAAGGGTAATTTATGGGGGGGAGGGGGTGGGAAGTGGCAGGGGTTCTAAGATTCTCAGGGTTCAGCTCTGTAGTAACTAAGGCAATCATTTTTTTTGAGACATTAATATTAATTGTTAAAAACATTTATATAACGATGCATAATCTCTTAATAATTATACGATGCATAATTGTTTATATCGGTAAGCCTTATTATTAAAATGTGATGAGACTGCTTGTTATTCTCACTTAGAAATGATTGGCTGGAATTGTGTGTAATTTTTCCTTAAGTGTTGTGGGTGATTGTCCTAACATACGGTGACTCTACAATTATTGGGCATTCAACCTGTTTACATTTTGTCAAATACATGAATCGGTATTTAAACCATGTCATTAATAATTAATTTCATGTTAACATTTTTTAATGCAAGCGAAAATTTCAGGGAATATCATTCAAGGGGTATTTCTGTAATAATTAGCAATATTAATAATGTGAATAACATCTGTTAAATGTCTGAATTATTTAAAATGTGAAAATAATGCTGTTTATGATAGAGTGATCTCCCATGCAACTTTGTTGCCTTATACTAGTTATCCAGAAGATGATCCGGTGAATCGCTCATTTTTTGTTTTTGTATTTTATCCACTTCTATATTCATTTGTTTATATTTAATTAAACAGAATGTCTACTGTCTTTAAACTATACTTGATGTTCCTGTAAAAGATACATGATTTTTTTTTCTCCAGTATTATACTTTGCTTTATTTTATCTAAACTTTCCTGTTGAAGAGTTTCATCATGTGGTCACAGTGTCTTGGGTAATGGAAGCGCTCATAGGAGGTGGTTAGAAGTCTGCACAAATATTATTAATTGTTTTTTTTATAAGATAAACAGATGGTTGTGTGAAAATGGTGTAGTTGTTTGTGATAAATAAACTGAATTTTATTTAAAGTGTCAAAAAAAATTGTAATTTTTTTTTTTAATATTTAAAGGGAGCGTGTTTATTAATTTAAGTTTGATAAATTTTGCTTTTGAAGTCTTTTGTAATGAGTAAGTTATAAAGTATCCTAAAAAAAACTCAATAAAGTACTAACCATAAATAGAATTATCAACAGAAAAATATGCAAAATTAATTATTACCAGAATACAACAAAAAGCCAAGTGTGAAACTAATACACTGCACATATACAAATAATACATACAAACAACAGCAACAACACAGCAAACAAGATAAAAAAAAATAAAATCAGCAGTACTCAAGAACATACAAAATCTTTATTGTTGAACACATCGCTCAGTCTTCACCTTACACACAGCAATACACTCTCACAGCCAATAGAAATATGCAGCCTTAGCCTACAACGTACTGTACAGAAAAAGGTACTCTCTTCATAGGAAGTTTAAAAAGTTAAAAACTACTATTGTAAGTTTGTTTCTCACATTTAAGATAGAAAAAATCTATTTTATGCTAAGATTTCACTGATAGAATTCAAAATATTAGCTAGGAAAAAATTAATTATATAAAGTACTTGTTTCTTTTTCATTAGCATCACAGAAAATGGAAACTATTTCTCAGGCAATGGACAGTTGACCAATACTGACACTATTGTTGTTAAGACAGGGACAGTGTGGTTATACCACAGCCATACCTGTTTCTACAAAGAATTCAAACAAAAAGCAAGCAAAGAAAACAATATATTTACACCTGTCTTACGTTAGCACCTACCATAGTCAAATATTGCATGGGTAATATGTATACATATTTACAACAGGACTGCCTAAAGAAAATTTGGCTCTACAGAGCCTTACAGAGTTACAGTAGTAATAGTTGCTTCTACTAGGAATGCAGGCAGTACAGTAACATAGTGTGGTTGTTATGGGGAAGGTGGGGGGGGGGGGGGGGGGGGGGGGAATTGGGGCTAGGACCATTGTTATGGAAGTGATGTTATCATCATAAGGGTATTGAAATTCCCCACAAGTTATAAATACCTTTTTGTTTTGTTATTTCCCTTTTGTCATAGGATTGGGGTTACTTTATTAAAAAAAAGACCCCAAATAAATATGGTCCCATGTATCAGTGCTACACAATGTCAAATTTATAAAAAAGTTTAACAGTTTACATATTTTTAAAGAAACAAAACTGATGGTTCATAATTTTGTATAACAGATTTCTAAAAAAAAATGTTTAAAAATGTATTTATCATTCCATTTGTCAATAAAAAAAATCATCTATCTAGTAATTCCATTTGTTGATAAAAAATACAATCTATCTAGAGAGAGTGGAATATTTGAATGACACCAAAAGCAGGCTGCTGATTGATATGTACAGCGACTACTTGGTTAGCTTGACTTATAGCCTAGAACTTCAGAGATTCAAAACAAGAAACAGAAAAATAATAGACAGTGGAGTTCTGGCAGAATACAATTGATGAGGTAAATTTTTAATTACCCACATTTAATTGTATGGGTGGGATTCTCTTTAGCAATTTGTTTGATTATAACTAAACTTAATTGTCAAGTTTTAAGTTTAAAAAAAAACGTAATGAAATGTGGGCCACTTATGTGCCATTTTACAAGAATTTATTAGCACCTACTAAAGTATAAAAATCTGGCCAATCCTTAATCAGCTTTCATCAGTAACATTTGGGTAATGGTTGAACACATGATCAATGATGTTAGGATAGACAAGAATTTGAAGATATTCTGATACATTTTAATTCTAAAAAATTTTGTTTGGCTCTACAATATTTGTAGATTATTAGATACAATTCTCCATTAGAATGGTGCTTGAATTTGTTTGTAAAATATTCTAAAATATTTGAAGTTTACAGTTTACATTTTACCATGAACAAAGTTATAAGATTACTTACAGTATGTGAAATTACAAGTCAGCAATAGGGAAGAAAATGTCCAACAAGTGCCTGAATCTCTAACATAAGGAACCATATATCATATTAATACGATAAGGTCATAGAAACAGGTGAACTCAATTTCACCTGCAACTGTGGACTGCCAGGTCCGAAAGGGAACTTGACATATGAATATTGCATTCAGCTATATACAGAGCAGCTCCATTGTAATTTACTCTATGCTTTTGTTATTCTTTATGCTTAACTATACTGTAGTGTTACATGTGAGGCAGTTATCAATGTTTGACAAAGAAGTTACACAAGAACTTGGTTCGTAGCCTGACCATTTTGGTAGTGGAATTCTCATCTGGCACCCAGTAACTCTACACACACATAAGCAAAGTTCCTTTTTGAACCTGATAGCCCATGGGGGCAAGTCAAGTAGAGCACCTGTTTCTGGGGACCATGGCATATGAAGATATTGGTCGGCACTATGCCCAGCTAGCTTTAATTTCCCTAACATGAGTTAGGTACCCATCAGGCAGCGCAGGATCTGAACTCGAGACTTCTGGGTTAACAGTTGTATGCTCTACCCCTCGACCAAGTGGTTCTCAGATTTTTTTAACTTGTTGTACCCTGATTTCTCTAATAAGTATACAGAAGACATACATTTTACAATGGCATGAAGTCATGTGAATTATAAAAAAAACAACCAAGCATACCACTTGGCTCTACCCTGCATACCATGTTGTTTACACTATATGTGGACTGCCTAGCTACTGAATAATAACCAGGATAAAATGTAAAAAAAATGATCAGTTGGTCAGGCAAAGTAGGTGGTTTAGAAAAGTTGTCACTTTTTTAAAACAAAAAGGAAAATTCTGACTGTTAGTGGACTAACCGTCAAGACTTTCCTTAACTATAGTTAGTCTAGTAAAGTCAGGGCCTAATTTAGGACACCATGTTAGTTGGTCTAGAAATATTGGGACCTATTCATATGACCAGTGTGTTTGATCTACAATTGTTGGATGTTATCACTGATCTTAATAAGAGAAATCCTGATTGTAGTTAATCAAGTCAGGCTTCTGTTTTCTTTTTTTTTTTTTTACAGAAGATGCAAAATGGAAAACTGCGAAACAAAAAAGTGTGCAAGGGCAATTTTGTTTTCTTAAACAAAGCATTTATAGACATTAACAAAGAATGACAACATGTACGTTGTAGCATAAATAAAACACTTTTCCACAAAATATGACAAATTTAAAGTGTATTAGTATAACTAGTATGTGTTTGCGCATATTTCTGTTTGCACAGTTTTCAGTTTGCACATTTTGTCTGGGAACCGTTTGTGACACCATGCTAGGTGGCCTAGAAAAGTTGAGACCTCCGTGTTGTCATTGGTCTAAATAAATAGAGTCCCAAAGTTATTAGTGCAGCTGGTCTAGAAAAGTTGAGACCTTTGTGTTGTCATTGGTCTAAATATATCGAGTCCCACTAAGCTATTAGTCTAGGAAAGTTGGGCAGTAACAGCCCTATTACAAATCAAATGGAGTCTGTCACATGACACATTTGTTTACAATTGCATTGAATTACAGGATGTATTTACAAAAGAAATGAACCAATCAGCTTCCATAGCCTGGATGAAGCAAGAACTATCTAAGCTATCAGCTGACCTTTCAAACAATAAATAGCAAACACTCTTTCAGTATTAGCCAAACACGCTTAAAGAAGCAAAAAAAAAACAACATTGCAGATCATAATCTGCCAGAATTTTTTTTACACAACATCAACTGTTACTGTTGACAGCATTCATTTTTTTTAAACCTCCTCTCCCTGGAGAGTTATTTCACCCACAGATGAAGCATTTTAATGGTACAAGTTCTTCAACAAAGACTAGCTAATGTATTCTAGTGAAACATTCCTGAAATAAGAGGTAGGTACAAAAAATATCCACACAAAAATGTCTGCTGTACAGAACAACTTTTGATTCACAATAGCAGTCTACTTCCTGTCGCCCAATATGGTAATAGTCTAGTAACAACCAGTGGCAAAGCCAGGAATTGGTCAAGGAGAGGGTTCAAAATTCTCCCCCATATACATATATATATATATATATATATATATATATATATATATATATATATATATATATATATATATATATATATATAAAACTAAATAAATTTTAAAAAGTAACAGTGGTTTTTAAGACCTTCCCACAAAACCCCTGGCCTACGCCACTGATAACAACATACAAAACCCTAAGATCAAGCACCATCAAGTTTTGAACAATTTTTACACTTAGGTCTGTCTCTAATAACCAAATCATTAAACATTATGTTTTCTATTTATATATCAAATTCACTAGTACTAGTAAATTAAAACTATTCTCTTGTCTAAATTGTATATCATAACTGTGACTGGACAGTTTTGGAATGTTGAATGAGACGAATGATTTTTGTGAGTTCTTAACAGAAGAGCTTGCGACACGGAATTTATTTATTTTTTTAACAATTAAAGAATGTAAAAACTTATTCATCTAGCTAAACCCTACATGGCAGAAAGATCAATTGCACAAAAGGATAATGCTTTGTTTTGTTTTTTAAAAATTTAAGAAACATAATCCTACATGGCGGCTAAAACATCAGACATACCACTCCTTCACGTCTTTCTTCTTGCCTCTCTTCCCACTTCCAGACTCGCTCCCCAGTGTCATGGCCCCGTTACCCTGGGATTTTTTAGATTGGAGGGAGGAAAAGTTCTGGGTTTCATCCACCTTGTAGGTGCCCTCGTCCCTGCTCCGAAGTTTACAGAGAGCGATACATAAGACAATCACTGCCACCAGCACGCTGCCTGTGATGCCCAGGATGAGACCTGTAAGAGACAGAAATAAATTCTTGGTTATCGTTACTGTGGTAAAAAATTCCCCAAGGAACAAGTTGATCCATGGGGAAAGTGAAGTAGAGTTCAACTTTTTCTATTTGCCTCGGCTTATGAAGTGATATTGTCATCAGCACTATGCTCAGTTGCCTTTACATACCCTAATTTGAGTCAGGTACCTAGGTGGACTCATAAAGACGTTCTATTAGCTTGAGCCCAGATTTCAAACTTGAGACATTTGGTTTAAAAATCATTTTCTCTACCATTCGACCATGAGGTCTCAAACTTAACTCAACTCTAATGATAATATCTCAAACATAATTGGAATAATTTGATGAGCTCAACACATTATCACCTTTAAACATTTAAAACAAGGCTGTTTAGACCAGACAGGTAAACAGATGGCTAGACATACAGGTAGCAGATTAGGCTAATAGACAACAGATCTTACAGGTAGAAAACAGTCAAGATAGGTGGACAGCAGATCACACAGGTAGACAGCCAACATCAAACAGGTTTAAGCACTGACCTAAGTTGATACCAGAGTCGTCGTCCTTGTCTCCATCCACAGTTTTGCTTGGTTCGGCCGTACTTTGGTCCACAATATCCTTGTCACCATCAACATAGCCGTTCTCAATCCTTGAGGGTGTAGATGAAGGATCCCCATTGAACGGATGAAGTTTGGACGAGGTTTCACACTCAGGGCCCTCGCACAAAGATGGCGATTGTCTACGTGATTGAAGTTTGGCAAAATAAAATTAGTTGAGAATATTAAAGCTAGCTAGTGTTAGGAATTGTGTTAAGGTATGAAAATAAATCATGGGTATTGTTTATATATTAACCAGCAGATATAATGTTTAATGGTTCTTTATATTTTAAATATTTATATTTAGTGTATTTTTTTTGTTTTTTTTTTGTTGAGAATTTTGATTCTTGCCTGATAAATAAAATATATATATGAATAAACTATAAAACACTGCTAATTCATGATTGTATAACATAATTTGACTTCTTTTTATCTACTAAAAGGCATCTTTCATGAAATTTGTAGAAAGAATAATTTAATTATAATAATGTTTTTTAAATTTCAAATTTTAGTTTATAATCTATTTTTTTACACTGTTATTTTTAAAAATTATAAAAATTAAAAAAAAAAATAATAAAAAAATGAAAATACAATTGCCAATAAGGTAATGTAGAAATGTAACAGTTGTCTGCTGTTATGGCTGTTAGGAATAGGGTGGACTAGTTAGAGAATTGAAACTAGCCATAAATGCCTTTCTATGAGATTTCAAGAAATCAGAAGTAGTTCTGTGGGGTGGTGCTGCTACTTATACAACACTTTATTCTCAAAAAGACAAGTTTGAGATCATGCATGTCTAAAAGAGGGGTTTATCATTTTATTAATACTGTATTAATACTGAGGTTAAGTTTGTACAGAGCATTGTAAAATAGCAATAGTCTAGGTAAGTACTATGTACCAATCACACATATAAGGTAGGGATAAAAAAAACTGGCATATTTTTGTATTAAATGATAAGTCCACGATTACATTATGAAAGAAGCGCAGAGAATAGCAGTGAATGCTACATCACATTCAAGCATCAACTCACTTAAATGTTGTTGTGGGTGGGGTGGGTGTGGTCTTAACGATGACGACAGCGGTGATGATTTCCTCGTCCACCCCAGATCCGTTGATGGAGCAGTCTTCTTCATCGTCAAACTGACAGCCCGAGCCCGGGCCAGTGAAGATGATGTCGTCTGTCACGCCTTCTTTTGTGGTCGTGTGCTGTAGAAAATACACACCAACATTGCTAATTAGTAAAGCTATTTGTACTGACAATACTGGGTGTAAACAACGGCTGTACAGTTTTTCAATTTTACTCTATGCTAAAACTATAATTAAACAACTAACTTTTTTCGCATTAAATAATTTAGCTTGAAATTCTAACTTAATTATTCATTGCTGAAAACATGAAATTTAAAAAAAAAATGTGTGTGTAATAATAAATATAGTAACTTCATATTTCATCAAAAATTTAAAATATTTGTGAGCAAATATAAATTCAGTAGCTTCATATTTCATTTTATAAGTTAGCTTCACTGTAGACTGTACCAAGAGACATGACTTTTCTCTATTGAGAAAAAACAATTGTCTAGCAGTTGATTCTAATGAATTAAGTTCAACGATTCTATTGATGTTAATAATTTTGTCTCCGTATTAAGACAAAGGGATCAAAATATACCTGTATAAAACTTCACAAACAACAACTGACCAACAAATACAAAGAACAAAAGTAGATAAAATTGTTTTCATCCAATTGTGAGTTAGATCAGTATACCAAAGCTGAAGTCTTGTGTACAGAAAAAAAAAAGGTTTAATTCACAGTAGTTTAAAAAAAATGCATAAAAATAATTGACCTATCACTGGATGTTATTAAAGTCTAAAGATTCATTTTTGAAGACTTGGAGATTATTTACATAATATTTACAACACTCAACTTGAACAATTATTGAGCAAAATTTGTAACAAAATCAAACTAAAAAAAATTATTCTAAAATACGAACTCTACATCTTTTCCATGCATCTAACTACAATATTTTAAAAAAAAAAGGTTAAAGGTTGTTTTAATCATGGCTCTGTCTTAGACACAGATAGGCTTTGTGTGTCTCACTTCTGGGAGAGTTATCTGATTTAAGACAAATTGCTTTATCCTAAGTCTGCAGGTTGCTGTATCATGCAAGCTGGCACAGATAAAAAAAAAATTCCTACTCAGAAATGTGCTTGACTATGCCAACCTTAAAATCTATCTAGACAGCAACAACACCAAACAGGCAGAAGGGTTTAAAGAGTTTTAAAAAAATCTACAGCAATCAGTCTAGGAATGTACAGAAACTCAAAACAGATTTTATGGCCGTGGCAAATGAGATCAAACCAAAAATAAAACTGAAACACTTTCAATCAAATGAAGGCGTATTTCAACACTATAAAAAAGCATGTTACAGTCAAAGAAATGGTCATGCCAAATGTACCAGTGGATTTAGGTCCCACTCCAAGCCTCCGATACGATGTGTAGATGTGTGGTACACACTGTGGGTGTGTCTGGCCACAAAGGGAATGAGAGTTGTCTCAGCATAGCCGTGTTCCCTAGAGTGGTGGAACTTGGTAAAGTTTCTGATAAGTTCTTCCCTTATTAGTTCCTGTTGTTGAGAGCCACTTCCTTCTTCAATTGTCTCGCCACTTTCATCATCCCTTGTGTCATCTTCACCAACAGGCAACGTCTTCATCAGATGTTTACCATTTCCTTTTCTAGACTTGCCAGATTCTTTGGCAGACTGTTTTACAAAGTACGGTCGTTTGGTGGTTAAACCAACATGGCTGTCCTTGGCTTTCGCATCCAGAATTTTAGCTCTGTCACTGAGTTTGAAAGGCCCGGAATACTCACAGCGGGGTTTAGGTTTACGGGTGGTGCTTGCTACTGATTTAAATACGTCATCGGTTTCATCGTAATCGTAATCGCTTGTGTGGGCAGGTTTGGCAGCATTTTTGTTATACACCATGATCGTCCGGTTAACCACCTTCTCCATCTCGTACCCATTTCTAGTCTGGGCAGGCCACACACGTCTTATATTGTTATACGACTCATCTTCATAGTCATCGTTCTCAGTTTCCATAACAGCGTTGTTCTCTTCGTCTTTCCTAACTTTAAGAACTTCCTCATACTTTTCCCTGTTGGGTTCTAGAACAGTGAACCACTTCCAGTCATCGTCGCGCGACCTATCCACTGCTTCTCGAGCCTTTCTTTTAGCCTTGCGGGAGCTTCTAGAACCTTTGCTGTGAGTGAAAGCATGGCTCTTGCCCCAGCTACTGCCTTGGGTTACATTCGTGGGCTCTGGGTGGATCTTCAGGGGGAAAAAATAGCAAAATAAATGTGTAGGTGGAGGGGAGGAAGAAATGAATGAACCTGCCCAAATTTCAGAGGAGAGTTTGACAGAGATGAAGAAATGAAATCGCTCACTTGAATGAAATAAAATGACAGATGAAGAAAAAAAAATTTAGCTAATTAATATGATAATAGAGTAGAAAAAGAATAATATCTAAACATTTAAAAATGTTAAATTTTGTCAGTGGGTATCTAAAAATTGTACATCATTACATCATTGTTACAGGTTGATTGTAAACATAAAAAAAATACTTGTGCTTATTCTTTGTTACAAGCTTTACAATTAAAAAAATAAATAAACTAAAACAATCTTACATAAAAAAATACAATTCCAATTTTATTAAAAATAAAATAATATTTTTTTGTCTGTGTTGGTTCTTTGGCCTTCATATGTCCAAAATCAGTTTAAAAAAAATATCTATTCTTACAAACTTAACCAGGTTGGTCATTGACTATCAAGAAGCTGGAAAACAAATGTGGATTGTACAGAGCAAACCAAAGCTACCAGGCAACAAAACAGAACTGAAGGAGAAAAACCAAATAAAAAATCATGCATGTGTCATAGTTGCAGGTGGGAACAAAGACAAATTGAAGCTGGTTAAAAGACAAGAACTCAAACACAGTGCATGGACAATGTGCTCTACGTTATGGTTTAAAATATGCCAGATTTTTTTTTTTCATGGTGGGTAGCAAAAACTAAAAGAGGAAAATTTTTGGAAAAAAAAAAAGTAAATGAAAAAACTACTGCCGCAAATAAATAAAATTTAAAATACTTTATATAGTGGATTTGTAACAATGACAAGCAACGTTAACTCATGTTAGATCAATTAATTAGCTTTAGACAGAATGCAAAAAAAAACTTAAGAAAAAATTAAACAATGGCCGGTTTTTTAAAAGATATATTTGTTCTTTTTATGTTTTCCATGACTAATATAAGTATTAAAACTTAAAAACAAAGTATACTAGACGCCTGTTTAATTAGTTAATTTTGGTTTATTTGTTAATGTTTACACACCATACTGACATTTATGAACGCCATATTATTCAATTAAAAAAACAATTCTACCAATATAGCAAATATATTAAGGGAATTATTAACAAATTCCTATTTAATATGCTGACCTTACTTTAAATAAACTATAACTAGCAATCTATCAAGCCAATGCCCTTGCCTATTTGCACTATCAAAATAAAAAAATAAAAAAACCCAATCCAACTTTCTACTTTTAAGGAATATTTCTAAGAATTTTTTAAAAACAATAGAGGAACCATAGTTTATATTTAGCTAAATTTACACAAGTAAATGAGGCATCTACTATTTACATTTAGAAGATTTCTATACAAGTTTTCATTTTAAATAATTATGAGACTAAAAGGAAAGTAAAACATTAAGAAAGAGACAGAATGCTTTATAACTGTATAAGTGAACAAATAATTTTTTTTCTACATTCTGGGATTTTTAAAAATGCAGCTGGGAATAATAAAACTAGAGTGGTGTGAAACAAACAGCAAGCAGTTCCTATAAGGCTGGAACTCACAGAAGGACAGTGGATGTTGACACACATGAAATTGGTTTTTTTAACAAGGTTAGGAATTCAGAGTTACTTACCCCTTGTGTGGACTGCATCTCCTCTACATCATCATCTGGCAGTAATGAAGGCCTGTAACAATAGTCAACATTTTAAACTTTTAGGCCTGTAACAATAGTCAACATTTTAAACTTTTAGGCCTGTAACAATAGTCAACATTTTAAACTTTTAGGCCTGTAACAATAGTCAACATTTTAAACTTTTAGGCCTGTAACAATAGTCAACATTTTAAACCTTTAGGCCTGTAACAATAGTCAACATTTTAAACCTTTAGGCCTGTAACAATAGTCAACATTTTAAACTTTTAGGCCTGTAACAATAGTCAACATTTTAAACCTTTAGGCCTGTAACAATAGTCAACATTTTAAACTTTTAGGCCTGTAACAATAGTCAACATTTTAAACCTTTAGGCCAGTAACAATAGTTAACATTTTAAACTTTTAGGCCTGTAACAATAGTCAACATTTTAAACCTTTAAACTACAGCGATTTTATGCAGTGGGGTTAGATTGGATATAATTTACAAGCAGGGAAATATAAATGAAAAAAAAAATAATTGTCTGTTCCAACTTTCTCAGCAAATAGTCCATTGTAGCAATCTTTAATAACATCTCCATTGTCTGGGGTACACAATTAAAAGCTTAATCAGAACTAGATAAAGTGTTTCTTCTTCTTCTGCCTTCTTTCTTTGTTCTTAATTTTTAGTGTTGGAATACATTCCTTCCAACACAATTAAGTGTACGTGTCAACTGGTTATGTACCATTTAGGCAGTTGACTCAGATTTCAGCCAGCTTTTCTTTTTGGATTTGCTTCCATAGCCTTTGTCCAACCAAGAACAAATAACAAAGCAGCAGTTGTTTGATTTTGGAGTTGTCTCTCCTAGAGGAGTGGCTGTCCCCAGCTATCAAGCCCCATCTACCCGTGGTTTCAAACTCGGGATTTATCAGTTCATCAACCATAAACTTAACTGACTCGACCACGCCAACCTCTGGAATTTGTAATAATAGCATCCACTTATAAAACCTCTTAAGGATACAAGATACCCATGTTTTCGATAAAAAAATAATTTTGCTCCCCAAAATTTTTATTTCTTAATTCGGTACTAATACCTTTTATCTATCTAACCCGAACATTTCGGACTTCTACGCCTTACGGTTATCCGTTTATTGCCATGTGAAACATGGTACCCCCCCGGCAAGTTTTCACACTACTACGTGGACAGCGGCTATCTTCGAGCGAGTATTACATCATTTATTGCCCGCGAGGCACCATAAACTTTACAGCAATCTAAGGGCCAAGCACTCGTGTACCCGCTGGTGTAGTGACTTTTTATTTTGTTCTACAAATAAGTGGGATAAACGTTGTTTTCTACCAAGTAAAATTTGATGTCAAAGTCCATATTTGGGCATGTGCGTAAAAATTATGAATGGGAAGAGATTCATTGATACGTTTGACCAATCATACAATAGTACAGTAAATCAAAATAACCTGCGATAGGTTGCAACTAACCACGTGTGCAAGGCAGCCATCTTGTTTCTAGATAAACAAAACAATCACCTGTCTTGTTTGTTTACATCATTAGCGTATACTCTTCTATTTGTTGTTTTAAAGTTATAGAACAACATTAAGTTTAATAATTGAAACTTTACCAACAAATGTTCTGTTGATTGTCACTGGAACACTATTAAACACTGTTTCGTACGCTTTTTTATACTAAGCTGAAACAATGCGTCATGGACATGTCTATCAGTTTGAAGAATGTACTAAGTCCATCCCCTTTATCCCCCTCATCCCCTTCTCGCCATTCAACCAACGGCTGTTTTATAATCTTGTTACGGCATGCTGTGATAGGCTTGAACGCGTTCATCAGGCTTTACACCGGACTGTATACGACACATGTGTTAATGTGTATGCCCGCCCATCTCTCCGTACAGGGTTTGCTAGCAACGAATGGAAATACTAGATGGGATAGCTGATAAGCATTCACTTAGGCCTTGTACTTGACCCTATCTACACAGACATGTTATTCACGGTTGAATGAACATTGGTAATCTATGGCTCATCGGTTCTTCACGCACTATCCAGCGGTGGGGTGGGGTGAAGGGGCGTGTCTAACCTCAAGCGTTGTACCCAGCGTTGTGTAGTAGGCTATTATCATAAGGCAATAAACTTGTGTAAGCTACAATAGACATTCTATTGACGTGAGAAGACCGGCTAACAAACAAAACTTAATCGGGTTTGATGATAGCTGTTCTGAGAATAACAATCAAATGATAGGATGTTTAAGACTTAACAGTCATTAATTTATTTTCTGTTGTATGCATATTTTCTGCTTACGCAGAAAAATCTATCTAAAACTTACAACATGACTCAACGCGTATTTTATTAGCCAAATGGTTCTTCCACACATAACAAGAAGTCATTTTCTGTTTGCTATAAGAGGAAACGCACAGTGCCTTTTTCTGCCTTTCTTTTCACGTTTTCTCAACTTTGCATTTTTACTCAAAATTCAACATTCAAATCGCTAAGGCTTTGGAACCCTTAGTCTTACAGCACTGAAACATTCCACATGCATTTAGCATTATACCATCTACAAAACTACGTTTGTACATTAAGTTTACTACAATACTTTAGAAAATATCAATACTTATGTTATACCACCCCCTAATTTTTGTACTTAAATTTACGTAAAAATTTGTAATAAAAATTGAGTACAAGCTATCGCAATGAACAAACGTAGAAATGTATAGTTTGGTTTCGTAAATCTAAATCTTTCATCCGCTTTACAAAATTGCTTATGGGAACAAAGCCTTAGCGATTTGAAAAGGTGTTAGTTTTCACACCTTTTCGCGGTTCCCATGGCAACCAGTACTGCTATTGACGGCCACATATTATTTTTGTCAATAGTTTAACAACTACTAACATATGTACTTATTAAATACCCAGAAATGTGTTAAATTAAAAAAAAAATTCTATCCGTGGTGTCTACCCTTAATGTAAGGGTACAGAATTTGTTAAGTTATCCTAGTGGTGTACGGGAGAAGTGATGACTCTAGTAGTAGAGAATATTATTGCTCTAAGACAGAAGCAAAGAAGTTTCAGCATCAATTTTAAACCTGGGGGGACACACAACAGTTTTCTAAAGCTGTTATTTTTATGGGAAAATGAGAATTAAATTTCTTTCTTTCCTTGCTTCAGTCTGGATTTGTTTATCTTCTACCCTATCCAATCCACCCAGGTTTGAATCTTAACAAGGAAGAAAATGATGAAAAATGCCAAGGTCTACTTTTTTTGGTAATATTTTTAAATAGATTAAAATATATGGCTATGACAGGAGACTGGGCATTACCTAAACATTAATGACGGTGATTCTAAAATATTTGTTAAAAAATGTCTAATGAAAATTAAATAAAAATATTTTATCATGAACTTACTTTAAAGGGGCTTTGTGTTGGTTGAGAATTACATTCCCTTCTAGTTTAATTTTTGAGTCGTTTTGTTTGGCCAGTTCAAATATGTGGACACCATTGATGACCAAGCCTGTAGGAATATAATAACGGATCAACTTGTTATCAATTATTTATTAACTCTTTAAGATTACTATTAATATGAAGAAAAGTATACATAGGTAGTAGCTCAGCATGAAAGGGTAATATAAAATACACTCTTCAAAACAAATTATTAATTATATTCTTTAAAAATCAAATACTTTTTAAAACTTCATTACAATTTCACAAGTTTGACTTTAATATATATATATATATATATATATATATATATATATATATATATATATATATATATATATATACATATATATATACATAAAAAATATATATACATAAATATATATATATATACATAAATATATATATATACATAAATATATATATATACATAAATATATATATATAGGCCCTACATAAATATATATATATACATAAATATATATATATACATAAATATATATATATACATAAATATATATATATACATAAATATATATATATACATAAATATATATATATATATATACATAAATATTTATACATATCTATATCTATATCTATATATATCTATATATATCTATATATATCTATATATCTATATATATATATATGCTTTCAATATACCCCGTGTAGTGCTACTTATAGAATGTCACATTAAGCATTGGGTGTGACATCAACATGACATTTTACAGACCAAAACCTGTTACGCTACCTGGGTATCAACACTAAGACAGATTCCATACCTGATATGATGCCTTCAAAGTGCTGTATGATGCTCCCGTTCCCAGCCTTTTTGCCACCAATTCTTATAAAGGCCTGGTTGTTGAAGGTGTGGCTCTGCTGACCTATGACAAGTTAAGTAAACAATGTTGAACAGGCAGTAAAGCAACTCTAAACAGCATTTCAATGTTTAATTCAATGTGCCAGAAAAATTGTTGGATAACAAGGTAAAAAAAAATGTTCAAAATCACAAAGTAATGAAGCTAATCTACAAAGCCCATGCCAGATGAGTATGCTGATATATTAACCTATAAAAAGTCTTCAAAACTGATTATAATTGATAATATATTATCCTATTTGTTGGTTATCGAATGAAATTTTTATAACTTAGAGATGTCAATCTATTTTCTGTATATCCTATATTAGTTTTGTACAAGTGCTATTGGAAGTCGGCTTCTAAGGTTGATAGGCATCACAATGTGGTAAGTCATCTTTGTATTAGTGTTATATAATTATTATTACAAGTGGATGCCAATGTTTTTTTTAGCAGGCATGAGAACCAGGTGTAGAAATTTGAAGTTACTGATGTAAAACAAGAAAACAAAAACTGAATGTAAACTTCATGGTGTGAAGAGCTAAAGTGAACAGGCATTATGGAAAGTGAATTGTTTTGTATTGCTTTACTGGCCGCTTCTTAAAATAGTAAAAATACATTGGTTGTACTTTTACATGTAATTTTTTGCAAGTTGTTTTACATCTAAAAATTATAAATACAAAGTTCTAGTAGCTTGCACACGATGCATAGCTTAGAGCCTTGTATTTCTAGAGTGGAGATTTTGTCAGAGCTTTTCATTCTTGAATTTGAAGTTATTGATTTTTCTATTCAATGTGGGGAAATATAATAATTTTATTTCCACCTATTTATAACCATTTACAGTTAAAATCTGGATTATAGCATTTTCTAAATCTAATGCTATCTGACACTAAAAAAACCTTCTCCATTGTAAAACCTTAATGTAAACAAATGAAGTTTGAGCTGTGCTTATTCTTTTAAAGCTAGCTGTTATCTGTTCCATAATTTTTACCACTGATCAAGCATTATGTTAACTAATTTATGGTTGGTGGTTTGGTTTTACAGTGGAGAAAAACCTGGTGAATGACAAGCTAGAGTGATTGTTCTTTGTAAAGCCAGAAAATACCTTGCAGGATCAAAGCATTAATTTCCTCATCGAAAGAAAATACTGTTGATGGGAAGAAAGCAGCGATAACATAATAGAATATCATCATACAAATTCTAAACTTGCCGAGTCAAACATATCGGCACATTCTACATGTGACAGAAGTTTTATTTTCATATTGTGTAAAAAAAAAAAAAACTTTTCTTTAAACAGGCATGTTAAAAAACCGTGGTCAAAAATTTAAAAACAAAAATTTAGCAAAAATTTAGCAAAAATTTTATGCCAAATGTATTTTTAAAAATAAATCTAATGCTGTTCTTTCAAAACGAAATAAATAAGATGTAATGATAAAATCAGAAACTGATGTAAGAAATAATAAATGAATGTTCTGATAAGAAACAGTTTTACAGTAATTATAAAATAAACTACATTTTTTTCTGGAGATCTCATACAACTAAAGCCAAAAATTCAATGGTTAAATAGTTTAAAAAAAAATCTTACTGATCAATACATGCCTGATTAAATTTTTAAAAATATATCATAAACAAGAAATATAAAAAAATAGGAAAAGATGTACAATCTTTCTACTTGTGTTTTTAAAAAAAATGTAATAAAATACCATGAAGGTTTTCACAATTTTTATCACTCATGCTGCATATTTCACCATCAGCCATAGATAAAAAAAAGTAATTTTATTTCCTGCATTTTTAAAAACAACTGTACAGATCTTTCTGCTCACAAACTGAAGCATTAGAGGCAAATTATTGATTCGTTAAACCTTTTATTTCAAATTTTTATTTGCGCCGCTTGTTTTATAAATTCTTAATGAATAGGATCACTTAAGATAGCATATTTTATTTTCTAAGATCTAACCAATATGGCTGACAGCAAGTACAAATCTAGATAAGATATTGAAAATATGATAAATATGCTTTTAAAATGCTTAAATTTTCTTAGATTATGAAATAAAAGGTAACAGTCTTTCTAACCAAGATCTAACCAATATGGCTGACAGCAAGTACAAATCTAGATAAGATATTGAAAAAATGATAAGTATGCTTTTAAAAAAAGGTAACAGTCTTTCTAATCTCATATACATTGTAAACAAAAATATATTATTTTGTAGGTATGCCCAAAACAATTAGAAAAACTATCCACCATTTTCATACATTATGTTAAGGTTACTACATTTAAGTCACTGGTTCTCAAACTATATTTAGGGAGCTGCACTCAACACTACACATGTGGGTAAGAACACCTGTACACCATCAGCTATCAAAACCACTTTGTGGTCATCTTGAACATTTTGTTCAGAGTTTCAGTAATGGCAGGATGGTGCTGATTTACATTTGCTAAATAATTCTGGATAAGAATCTTTCAAATGTTAGATGACTTTTTCATAGATCTGTAAAGGTTCATAATAGAGTGGAGCTCCCACACATAAATAATGACATGACTCATGGGATTTTCTTGAAATTTACAGCACTCTACAAAACTCAGGAAGCTTGCTTCCCAGTATAGCAAAAAAAAAATTAATCGAATATGTACATAAGTTCATGGGCGCCCACAAGATTTTCATTTCTGCAATGGATACTTTTATAAATAATATGTTAAGTTACTTTGAGAATACTTTCAAAATTACTGATGTAATAAAAATTAAATTAAATACAATTTTAAATTTTTTTATTTAATGTTTTTTTCTTAGGGGATGCATATTAATATCACCTTTTAAAAAAATATGTTTACCCTCCCCCATAATACCATAAAAGTCAGACCAGCCTTCTAAAATAGCATCACTTTTCAGCCTTTACCATCCTCCCTACCCAAACTGAAATTTCCTTTTTCTATTAAAAACACTACTGATCACTATTTTATACTGAAATTTTAGCAAATCTAGATCAAGATAAATTTTAATTATACTTTATAAAAAAAAAGTCTTTTAAAGATGTGAAATAATCACACATGGTAAGCAACACTCACTACAACACTCACTTCCCCAGCAGCCCCCCCCCCCCCCCCCCAATGATAACCCATTAAAAGCTACTAATTAGCAGTTAAGTACTTTCAGGGGTTATATAACACCCTTCTAGACCTATTGTGTGGGCGCCCATGCATATATAATTACATGAGAGGTAAATCCTTGTACAATTTTTATAAATTTTAGCAGCAGCATTAGAAAAATAATGTTATACAATTTTTGTTGTCTCTCCAAAGTTGGTAGGCAATAAGGAATAGGAAAATTGAGATTAATATAAACCATATAATGACAGAGCCAGATGAGATTAGTCTCCAAAAGATTTAGTACAACACATTAAAAATATGCAGAAAACAGGAGGTCAAAGGTTTTCTGTTTTTACAAAGTAGAGAGTGTAAATATTGTAGGATTTTAAACTGAAGAGTAAGCTATTGAGCATGATAAGAATAAAACTATACCAAGTTTTGTATATTATGAATTTTTATAGCTATACATTTTATGTTTTTGGTTGCACCACAAAAGATGCAGAAATAGGTGGATAATTTATTTTCTGGGATTTTTCCAGCTAGGTGGTTTAAATACCTAAGCTTGTCATATGGGTAAATCTAATTGTCATGCGTGAATTAACTTGCTGGATTTTGTTTTTGAACTTCTAGTTTTTAAAAGAACAGCCAGAGGTGTATATTCAAATACTAATCTGAGATTTAAAATAAGTTTAAAATAGAATTTTAAAACCTCAGTAATCAAATGTCGTCAGTAGAAATGATTAAACGAGATGTTAAAACATTTAAAATAATTTATCCTATGCTACAGACATTTGTTTCGAATACATTCGATTATGCCAATATCTGAGTAGATTTTCATCTTTGACTTTGAGTAAAAAAACGTATCTAGCTTTAAAAACATAAGCACAATGAGTGGGCGTAGTGAAGTGATGTTTCTGCAGTAACCTGGTTACATAGTTCATCAAAGGGTTTAAGAAAAAATAACTATAATGAAAACATCAATGCTACATGACATCAAATGTGTGAATGACATGAATGAAAAAAATCTCACCTGTGGGTGTTTTCACCTGCGGAGCCTCAGAGTCAATCTGTAAGGTCGCGTTAGGCCCAACTCTAGTGAACCTGACCACGTGGTAGCGGCCGTCGTTCACCTTCTGATAAAAATTGCCCAATGGGTGGTTGATTGTCCCCATGTTGTAGATCAGATATACATTACCATTTATCTGAACAAAAGCAATAATAATCAATTAACAAAAACAATTTAAAACTTTTTTAGCTAAATAATTTCTCAACACTTAAGCATAAAAATATAACGGATAATAAACTGTTACACATTCATTCTTTTAATATTTTGCATTGAGGCAAAATAATATTTTCAGGGTAAAACTGTAACGCTAGATATTTTGGTTATTTTCTAATGAGGAAAAGATAACAACATTTTTATACTTAACATATTCAAGATCTTTAACAACAAGAAAACAAGTTTTATGATTTAAAACAATAAACTATACATATGTAGTATATTTTCTAGTTTGAAAAAGGATATATTTTCATTTCTAAATATTTTAATAAAAATTACCAATTCCAACTGAATAAAGTCATTGAAGTTGCGACTATCCATCCTAATCAAAACTGCCTCATCCTGGAATGTTTGAAAGCCAAAGGCAATATTTTCAAAATTGGTTGAAGGTTGCTCCCCTTCAGGATGTGTGAATGTTATCAACCCTGGGCCAGGTCCGAACTTGAAAGATACACTTTCTGTTACAGGAAAATAGTAAAATTAACAATTTTTATATAGGCCTACACTTTCTGTTGCAGTAAAATTAACAGTTTTTATACTAGCCTAAACTTTCTGCTATGGTAAAATTAACATGTTATTATACAGGATTAGACAATTTGTTACAGTAAGATAAGTATATTATTATAAAGGCCTTAACTTCCTGTTACATAAGAAGTCAATATTTCATCATTCAAGCCTAAACTTACATTTTAAATTTAAACAATGTAAAAAAAAGAATATTTTTTATAGAGACCTGAACATTCTAAACAAATTTGTTTTAATGTTTAAATACTAAAAATGATTAAAAAACTATTTTGATTATTTGTGTGTATCATATGAGGTTATTATGTAGCAGTGGACTCTTGTTTCAACCTGCTTTTCTTTCAGGATTTGCTGCTATTGCCCTTGTCCAAACTAAGAACAAACTACAAGACAGCTGTTGTTTGGTTTAGGAGTTTTGATTGGTTGATGTACCTTGTTATCATCTGCCAGGGGGTTCAAACTCAGGACTTTTTAGTTTAGCAACCATTAGCTTTACTGACCCAACCACACCCAACCCCTAGTGAATGTTATGATAGAAATCAATGGATCAAATTTCAAACCTTCTTTGCACACTGGACCAGTGAAGGATGTCATATCACAATCACATCTGTAGGAGTTCCACTGTTGGACACATCGCCCATGGTTGGCACATGAGTCATTGACACATTGGTCTACTGGACCTGTGAACACATGGTTCATTAGTCTTTGACACATTGAGCTTTTGGATCTGGTTTAAAAAACTAGTATCTATACGTATTTTAAGTACACATTTTTATACAATCAAATTGATTCAATATATATATATATATATATATATATATATATATATATATATATATATATATATATATATATATATATATATATATATATATATATATATATAAAACATAATTCAAGTATTAATTGTTTTTTATATTAAGGACAAATATCAGTTATTTTTTTCAAAAGAAAGTTTTATTTTAAACAAGTAAAAATTTAAATTTAAAAATATGTCTGGTAAAAACAGGGTACATGAAATTAGATATAAAATGTAGCTTCCAAAGAATAAATTCTTTAATAACACTGTACTCACCACGACAGCCATCCCCAACACTCTCATGTATTGGGCTAGCCTCACGCAACAAATTAGGCATGTACTGATTAAAATCCAGGGACCCTAAACATCCGACAAATCCATGGCGAGATGTTATATGTTTAGGAAGCGATGGGTACATAGTTTTGCGGACACCACCCACATACAGGTGACCATCCAGGTCAAATCTTGTATTTTTTTTATTAGAGAGGTCATCTGTTATAGCTGATGATTCATCTACACGTAGCAGTTGTTTGGGGGCATCCCCTCTTAACAGGAGTACCTAGATGGAAATATCTAGTTGAAAATAAGTGCTAAGGACATATCTATATATATATATATATATATATATATATATATATATATATATATATATATATATATATATATATATATATATATACACATAAATACTCATATATACTCATATATAGGTGTAATGATGCATGTCCTCAACACTGGTTGGTGCGAGTGAATATTGGTGTGCACGCATGTTGAAAGAATGAATGATATAGTGTGATGGTGATGTTTTTGTGTAGAGACTGGTTGCTGTGTATATTGTGTGTGAGTTAGTCAAGGTGAAAGGGTGTACGTAAGTCCAGTACGAGAATAAATGTAAGAAGAGAACACCTATTTTCATCTTGTTGAATAGTCATCACCTGTGGTGTCTGGATGAATAATTGTAAAATGCTTGTCCTCGGTTACAATATCTTCATATGGTAGTGGGATTCGAATATGGTATTGAATTGGACAGCTCAAACCTCTCACATAGCTTAACAATATGTATGATTTTCCTTATTGCATGGTACTGATTAATTTTAACAGAATGATTTATCCCATGTTTTTATTTTTATTTTATAATTCACAAAAACAGGTTTTTTATTTCTGGTATGATTTTCAACCTGAAGTCACTGATCTACTGAACAAAGCACTGACCTCATGCCATTTGTTGTCATTGATTGGGTTCTTAGTGTTGGCCTTAACCCTTTGGGCGCCGTCCCCCATGTTGTAAACATAGAACAAAAACCCATCCTGCAGCTCCATGGCAAAAAAATCCTGCTCCTTGCCCCCATTGTACAAGATGAGACCGTTGCTCTCTGTGGTTTTAAATTGAAATGTCACAGTGTATTTCTCAATGGCGTGCAGCCGAGGCAAAATGGCAAAGGCATCAACAGATTTGAAGGTGACTGGGTCTCTGACCACATAATCGTCTGAGCTGAAGCGTGCGGAGGTGTTTATGTTATCAGCCGAGCCTGCTTTGGCCATCTGTGATTTACAAAAGAAAATAATTTTTTTTGCTATAGAAAAAAACATGAAAATTTAGTGAAAGAATTTATTTTGAGGTTTATGTTGTGCAACAATAAATTGGCAGGTTTTAAATGTATGTAATCTGTCTTTAAGCTGAATTTTTTTCAGTTATTACTTATCTGTAGTTTAATATTTAGTATAGTTTAGTTTAGTTTTTTTTTATTATGTAGGCTATGTTTAATCATCATCTTTTCCTGTTCATGCTCAAGACACATAAGGCAGATAAAGTAGAGTTAAACTATTTTAATGACCTCTGCATAGAGGGGGATAGTGTGGTCAGCACTATACCCAGTCGATTAGTTCCCTCAAGGACAACCCAGAGACCTGAGTCCAGGGTCTATCTTGTGCCTTTTGAATTAGTGGTCTATGTTTAATAAGACTTTCAGCCTACTAAAGAAAGTTTACATTAAGGTTATAAAAGTAGGCCCATGTTGCTTAAGTTCAATAAGAATTTAATCATTTCTGATTAAGTTAAAGAACATTTTTATTTGCTTTGAGTAAACAGGACATGAACTGTCAGTGCACCAACCTGGAAGTAATGGTTCCCGTTAAAAATGAAAGACTGCATAGACCCAATGAAACCTGAGTGGCGACCGGTGGCAGCTTCATCCTGCTGTACCATGTGACCTGTCTCCACGCTACGCATGCCTATCTCCTTGGCTTGGCCTGGTACGTCTGCTAAAAAAATAAATTAAAAAAATAAAATGGGTTAGAAATTTGAAAACAAACCAGTATCTTTTATAAAATAAATTACCTTGTCACTGGAAGTTCAAATTTGTTGCCCGTAATTTAAAAAGTGCTTAAAATGATGTATTTTTTTTTAAAAATGTATCTTTTATGGTTTATAAGTTTTAATTAACTGTAAAACAAGTATTTATAGCATACTATGTTGAGGGTAAGTTAAAGATAATAGTAAAATTCAAGAAAAAGAATCTAAAACCAAGAAAAGCATTACAAAACTAAATTTAAATATCAGACTAAAAGTACAGAGATTATTAACAATAAAATCAAGAAATGAAAAACTTTGAGGATATTAATTTTAAGTTTCACAAAATTTCTTTAGCTTAAAAATATAATATATTATGACAATACAGGAAATGGATGCACAGTATATGACACACTACTTACTGCTTTTAACACCATGCATTTAAAATACGACTGTGACAGAGAGGGAGGACAAAAGTTACATGCACATGGTTTCAACTCAAATTCAGTAAAGGTCATTCATCCTAATCTAAAGATAGATGAACTCTTGTCATATGACTGAAAAGTACTTGCAGAACAGGCAAGTTCCTGAGTAGCATGTGCAGATCATACAGGCCAACAGTTGCATGTATGGGTCAACACAAAAAGTTATAGCGTCCATATAGTGTTGTTGACTTTTGGTTCTTGCACGGAAAAATTGTGTACCTTAGTTAAGATCCACGTCAAGCTTTGCCATCAAGACACAATGTCATGTAACAGTGAGACACAGCTGCCAGGTTGATTGGCTAGACTCAGACAAACCCAACCCCCCCCCCCCCCCCCCCCACTCCCCCTAACTGTAAAAACATTAGTCTGCTTAAAATTAAAATAATTTTATTTTAGGATAGAATTATCATTTTAGAACGTATAAATAACTAAAATTAAATTATGAATGTTGAAATGTCCTAGAAAATGCGAATTTATTCAAGTGTTAAATAATTATTTACGTCTTTAATACAAAGCATTATATTATAATAAACAAGAGAAATTATCATATGTTTGTGGTTGGTCTGCAGTGCAATAAAATTAGCTTTACTTAACATTTTGCCAATAAACAAATTTTATTTGCATATTTTTTTAAAAATCATTATTTAAAAAAAAACTATATGATTAAAAAATGAGCTGAAAAATACTTTAGTTTTATTAATAGATCTTCCACTATAAAACATAAAAAGTTTCATCTGAATTCTTGGAAAGATTAAAGCATTGGATAAAGTTTTGCATATTAATAAGATAAATAAATATTACAATAAATTGTTTCTGATCTTTGAGACTTAAGTAAAAGAGCCAAAATGACTACTATTTCAAAATAAAGAGTTTATATTTGTTATTTTTCAAAATTTTAAACTGAAAGTTCGGATTGAAATACTACAAATAGCAAACAAATTTGAATCCGAATTGCATAGTTTTAAACTTGACCAGACAGGTCTTTGACAGACCAGACAGCTGACCCTGTCTTTGATTATCTACTACATTCAAGTCTAGCCATGCTAGTCATGCGGAGGTTTTGGTGCCGTAAGCAGTAACAAATAAAGAAAGCTGTACCATTGGCAGTGGTCGATGCTACGACATGACCAACCAAAATTCTTGAAGTAGCCAATGTGAAAGTGTTGCCTGGAATTTTATCTGAAATAATAGGAAGCAGTTGATTGGTTGGTGAGTTGGCTGAATATTAGTACACAGGAACAGTGGCATACCAAAACAATTTGATTGCTCCACAATAAAAGTGTTAAGTGATTTTTTAAAAAAAATTGTTAATTTGACACTGGGTGCAAAAATTTGAATATAATAGGCTAAAAAGTGAAAACATTAAAAAACGATTAACACAGTTTTACCAATACTAGAAATTAAATGTAATTTTCTAGTTTAGAAATTTAAAATTAAAATGTTTTCAAAGAAAAAGAGTTCTGCATAAAGGTAATTTAGCTAGTTAATTACCACCCAAAGATGCTTTATAAACATGCTTGGATTTTAAGAAAGTATAATAATTTTAAAATTTTGTTACATTGAAGAGATTATTTATATAAAACCTATCAAATAATCATAATTTAAATATTGATTTTTCACTTCACATAATACACATTACAAAATCAAAAGTGATAGGATAGGGAAAGCTTCAGAATATGAACAATATAAGAATATAAGGGGAAGAAAATAGAGCTCTAGAGAAGAGAAAACTTGTTTTAAAAAAAATAATAACTATACTCTGCTGACATCTTACTGTTAAATGATACTTTGATGTTAATATAACTTATGCAATATTTTTAAAAAAATTACTCATATTATAGTGGTTTTAACGTGCAAATTTTAAATATTTTCTTTATAAGTATGTATAACATTAACATGCATAGGCGTATTTATCTTTAATTTTTAAAAACTCCAATGTCATCTGATATATTTTGTATTTATAAATTTAAATTTTAGTTAATTTGTAAAAGTACATAGGCATATCATACTATTATGACACTAACTGGCATTTCTTACAGAATATTTATATTAGGCTTCAGTTTCAATACAACATTTTCATGAATTCTAACTGTTAGGCATATCAAATTCTAAGATTAAAATATAATCTAAAGATGGAAGCATGCTTTAACCCTTTATAGGCCTTGTCTAGTGATGGTTCTGCTGCCTCTGAGGCTTTCTGTTTATGTATTACAAAGTGTAAAAATCTAGGGGGAAATCTTGAAAGAGAAACAAAAAAAATGTAAACTGAGGTAACCATTAGAGTTTACAAGACTCAACAAAAGATTTTTTGAGGCCTAACTCTTCAGATTAAAAGATTATAAAATAGAAGAAAAAATAAAACAAAAAACCAAAGGTGTAAAATAAAGTAGGATGACAAAAGGATGTGTTTGAAGGATAACAACACTGGAAAGTAATTGTCTAAGGAGCTAACACATCATCATGGCAGTGAAAATAGAAAAATAAGACAGTTTATTCAGCAGCAGATTTCACTACAGCCCTAAAATAAAAGCAAGTTGTTTCTACAAGCTGTCTTGGTTTATTATATGTTACCTACAACTTAAAAGATTAGTTCTGACATGAATACATTTTTTGCTTCATTTTGTTAACCCAACTTTATATAATTATGTTTTTAATAATCGAAATTCAAAATGTGAAGATAATTTTTACTTTTTTAAAATTCTTACTCATTATTTTTCTTTAAAACAGTATATTTCTTTAATTAACGGACAAAGTTTTCTTTTAATAAACAAAAATAAATATTTTGAATATTTTTTTATTTCTTAATTTAAATATGTACTGATAAACAAGATTTTATGTTTAATTCAATTTAGTTTTTAAAAATTGAGTCTGTTAGAGTTTTCAAGATTGCATTATATTTCTAAATATGATTTTTTAAAATTTTATCAAATCATTTACTTTATCAAACTTAACAATAGAAAGGGCAAAAATATTTTTAAAATTGTTAAATTTAATTGAAAGTAAAACCTCAGGGTCAACTTTATTTACTAAATCCACTACACTACAAGAGAGTTTTAAATAAATGGCTGAGCTCTGATACAGAAACAGTGAAGTTGTATTAGGTGATTTCTACAAAAAGAAAACATGAAATATCCACACTAACTGTGACAAGGGGTTCAGTTGTGTCCAGAACAAAATTTAAAAAAAATGTAAAACCTGTAACAGGGCGGTCTTGATCTATAGATAAATCAACAGTATGCACGCGCCGCTTGATAAAAACAGTATGCCAGCGGTCATCATTCAGGGTGTTTCCTGCTGAGAGAATCTAGTAGAGAAATAGAGTAGGAATTTGTTTAAAAACTAACACACTGACGATAAGCTAAACAAATTTTAAAAATAAAAATAGCACTGTTTATGAGTTTACAAATATTTTAGTAACAGTAAATGCTCTAGCCTGCTCTAAAGTTGAAAACAGGTTATGCAAGCTTAATACTTGAATACTTAAAACTTCCATGAGCCTTCTTAGCTTCAATAAATACCCAGTAAATGTTTATAAATAATAATTAAATAATTAAACGTGGCTGGACATTGTGTAGACTAGATAATACCCATTTACTAATACTAATTTGTTTTCTATATATTGTAAATAGTCTAATTTTTGCCTATATATTAATGCAATCTAGTTATTAGTTACTTATTCTAGAAATAGCCATTATTTTTGTCATAATCTTCAATTAAATTGTGTTTAAAAACAATCTAAACAGCACACCTTTGCTCCACTCCCCACATTGACAGATAAATAAATTGTGCCTTCCTGAAGGTACAACTCCATGCCTTCGTCGTGCTGACCAGAGGTCAAGAAAAGCAGACCGGAGGGGTGCATGGTTCTAAATCTCAGTGAGATGTCTTCTGCCTGTGTCAGAGATTCTTTGTTCATGGTCACTTTCATAAACTGTGTCCCATCAAACCTTAAGGTGACAGCAGCTGTGAGATAAAAATTAGAATTGCTGTAAAGCAACAAAACAAAATTAAATTTCAAAGTGGCAAAATATAGAAAGTGTTAACTTACTTACAGAGACAGCATAAAAAAAAAGAAATTGTGGTGACATAAAGCTTTTTATTTTTTACATAAAAAAATGAAAATAACTTATAGAATAGGCCTCGATGAATATATTCTTAACTGCAATCTGCACATGATGTCAACATTTTTAACAGCTTATCAAACATATGAAAAAAAGCTTTAACTCACACTATTGTATTCCTTTTAAACTTAATGAAAAATATAAATGTCCTTTTTGTGGGGAGGGGAGGGGGGGTTGTCAAAGAGAGTGCTAGGTCACATTTTCTTAACCCCACTTCCTTATGCAGCATTTAGTGTGAAATTTATAATTGACCTATGACCCAGTCAGCACACATATATTGGCCCAATATTGGCTAAACATTGGTTACCAATATTGGCTACATCTTGGTGCAACATTGGCTTAACCTTGGCGAAACATTGGTAGTGAAACTCGGCATGATGTTGGCGCAATGTTGGCACAATATTGGCTATATCCCGGCTACATATTGGCCCAACATTGGCTAGATCTTGGCCAAATATTGGCTATATCCCGGCTACATATTGGCCCAACATTGGCTATATCCCGGCTACATATTGGCCCAATATTGGCTACATCTTGGCTCAATATTGGCTATATCTTGGCCCAATATTGTCTATATCATGGTTACATCTTGGCCCAATATTGGCTACATCTTGGCTCAATAATGGCTATATCTTGGCCCAATATTGGCTATACCTTGGCTCATCCTGTATTATATCCTGGCTACATCTTGGCCCAATAATGGCTATATCTCGGCTATACCTTGGCTCAGCCTGTATTATATCCTGGCTACATCTTGGCTCAAATTTTTATTTTTAGCATACAAAAAGATCCATTCTCATATCAGTCATAATATTTACAAAGGTAATTTCAAAATGTGAAAGAAATTTTAATCAAAATGTAGTAAAGCAGCAATACATACACAAGAACTGCTCATCTATTAAAATCTGTATTATACCATCCATTCAATTGTAAGAAAATTATAACTATACTATAAAGTATTGATTGAAAAAGAATAATTAAATTATAGTGTAGTAACTTTCATTTTGACTTTTATACAAACAAATTAAAACAAATATACAAAACATTTTCATATAATGTAACAGATGTTAAGCAGGCCTACAGTTTAAATTAAACTAATGTAAAAACTTAATTTACTGTACAAGAATACAGAAGCTGTCTTGTACTATGATACGTAAACATAACATTAAAAATAAAAAGTATAAAATATTTGTCTAACAACATTTAATTGCATAGCTCGTTTAAGTATTCTAATTAAGGTTTACATTTTAATGCTGGACCAGTCTGCCTTGTCCATAAATAACAGAACGAAAATATGTTCAGGATCTCTAGATTATAATTGTGGTTAAATAGTGTTGAAATGAATGCCATTGTGTATACAAAATGTACAATCTTTCAAAAGACAGATGGTTCGAGGGTTTATACGCATTGTGTAGAACAGGAATATCACTGCGATATTTAATAAATGTTTTTTTGTCTCGAGTATGAGGTATTTAATTATAGTAAACTGAATATATATTAATTTACTTCATTAATTAGAAATAAATATCACCAGCAGAAGTATTGTCAATACAAATGTTGCAAGCTTTTTTCAGATTGTACAGTGAAACTAAATAATGAAAGAAATTTGCAACTAATTCTTTAAAGAAAAAAATGTCAATTGTATATTTCATTTAGGGCATTAAATCTACACTAAACATACATACAATGCCAACTTAAATTATTATATTATTACAAAAGGAAACAATTTATTAATTTAAAATCAGCATTGTTCTTAGACTATTTTGGTAAGAGCATCTTTTCTTTTCGTTAAGCACTTAAATGCAATATGTATTAAACTGTTAACCTGATCCATCTGATCAAATTTTTTTTTTTAAATCTGATCTAAAATTATTACGAAAATCACTGTTGTCCTCATTCTTGTGGACCCTTGTGGAGCTGAGAGACACAACCACACCTCTCTATTTTTATACTTGGTTTTAGGAGATTCCCCAAAGTTGTGTCCATAACACTCTGCCTGCTTGTGTTTTGTTGGTTTCTGATATTTTCCATGTTTGTTTTGGATAACAAACTTTCTCTTTCCTTTGGGATTCAAATCCAATAAAAGCCTGGTTGTTGATTTGTGCAAGGTATGTCATAATCCATCCACATTCTAAAAAAGAAAAGTTACACACTAAAAGTCATTTATGAAATAATTACAACCATACACTGCTCATTTTGCACTAAATTTATTATGTTTATTTTATTTTGCACTGCACTGAACATACAACAAGAAGCCCCTAACATCATGTTTGCTACCTTGTAACGATATATTATATAGGTATAAAGACTGGTGGTCTGGGGTGTTCATGCTACCCAGGTAACACTTATACTGCATATATATATATATATATATATATATATATATATATATATATATATATATATATATATATATATATATATATATATATATATATATATATATATATATATAAACAAAAGTGAAAAAAAAAAGACCTGGTAATAAAAAAAATAATAGTATGTAGGCCTATATAAATATTATAAACCCCTTACCCTATGTCTCTGAGCTAAGAAGGTGCCAGACAACTTTTGAGCAATTTCATCAACTTTATCAATTCAGTAATTGAACGATTAGACCCTTCAGAGTGACCCAGAAGTAATGCTTGTGGTCTGAAATTATTTTACTAATATCAGTAAAGGCATTAACTACACATGCTGATCAATACATGCAAGCAAAAATTACTAAATGAAAATTATTATTCACTTTGAAACAATGTAAACTTACAGTTGTTAAGTGTTAAGAACATTTAGTCATTTTCTGGTGTAGCCAGTATTTGGTGAAGTATCAAGCAGTGGGGACCTTATAATTTATTAAAAGATTGATATATCTCCAGTGGGCTGATTGATACACACAACACCTGGAGACCTGAAAATAAATGGCATTCTTAGTTATTAAATATAATAATAAAATGAGTGAGTGATACAATAAATGATAGCCAGATTAGATACTAATTTTTAAGTATCTCTGTTTATTTGATCTCTGTATATAAAGGATTGTGTAGTCAACACTATATCTAGCCACCTTTTTTATTTCATAGTCTTAAATTGGGTATATATCAGACTTAGGTGAACTGATGAATGTACTACTAACTTGGCTTTATGTTTAGCAATAGTGTCCTCAACCATTTGCCTACTCTGTCCTCTATATGATAATATGAGTAGTGTTGATCATTAAGTATGGCTTACTAATAGTACCATCTTATCGCTGTTGGTCATGAAATTAAGTGTTGCTCTGAGGTCTCCACACTACTATTTACACAACTTACATCTTATTCATCAAAACATGCATTAGACTGGAATCCCCAGGGAAAAAGGAGGGTGGGCCGGCCAAGGAAAACATGGAAGAGAACGGTTGAGGAGGAGGCGAAAACAGCTGGGCTCTCATGGGCACAGATTAGAGGAGCAGCCCAAAACCAAGTCCGCTGGAGATGTGTGGTTGTAGCCCTTTGCTCCCCAGGGGCCACAAAGGAGTGATGATGATGACATCTTATTCTCCCATAGGGACCTGTAACAGTAATAGAAATTTGAATGACAATCTTGAATCAATTTAGAATTCTAGTTGACTATTTTTTTTCAAAATTAATACCTATCAAAATACACTGTTTAACATGTAGAAATTTGTTCTATAATTGTGTCTACTGTTCCTCTCTCTCTCTCTCTCTCTCTCTCTCTCTCTCTCTCTCTCTCTCTCTGAATTAATTAATAAAGACAGTTTCAAATCCTTACACAAATAGGCCTAGAACAATAAAATTAAGTTTTTAAAAAAGTTAAAGTGAATGATTATTTATTAATTTATAAACATTTAAGCCCCCCCCCCTTTCCCTGTGCGTGATAATTATACCTAAAGTTGAAAACCAATAAATACATCGATCTATCAATAATCAATATAACCCCAAGCCCAAACGTACTTGCATACTTTTCAATACAAAAAAAAGTGCTGTCAAAATTAACCGCCCTCTGATTACGATTTTTAGTTATTTAGTATTATTAGAATCTAGATCTATCTAGATCTATCATAAAGGAGATTATTGTAAAATGTAATTATAGCCTAATGCCAAAATAAACAGAATATAGACTCTAGTATTATTAATAAATATATAGATCTAGACTAGATCTAGGCTCATTTTATTACCTCAAATAAACTACCTTTTATAACTTTTATTTGATGACTTAGGCCCATAAAGTTAAAGTTTCCAACAAAAAAATACGAGTTTTCCAGATTCTGCATAAATACAGTTATACTACTTCTCACTGTTGAACTAAAATGGCTACAGTGGGCCTACCTGTTTTACTGTGACTGGATACAAAGTCTTTTGTTAAGAAAAATGGCGCAGGACCGGGATGCTGGCTTGTGAACAATAGGAAGGAATGTGAACAAAGGTACAATGGGCGACAGGGGGCCGGTGGCAGTAGCGCACACAATTTTAAAAAGATTAACAAAATGTTTAACACATGCAACGTAGTCTGTTATTGATGCTATGTTTACATTAGAGCATAATATTAAAAGATAAATTAATTTTAGTTAACATATATTAAGTTTAACAAGCATATTTAACTAAAATTTCTGCAGTGAATCCATAAATCAGTGTAATCTTGGCAGCCAAGGTAAAAACGGTTAAATATCAAGGTATCAAGGGATGCAAGCATGTACAAATCTTGGCTGTACCCTGGCGTAAGCTTGTCCAATGTTTGGCCATGATTACAACATTGGGCCAAGGTTGGGCCGACCCTGGTATTACATACTGTGTTAGCTGGGGACAGCCTATTATGGATGACTTTTGGCATCACTAATGAATGATTTCTTATGCATTATTAAAAAAAAATAACTGCCAAAGACTTTCCACATCAATTATTTTCTAAATTTGTCCTACCTTTTCATAGTTCACCCCATTTAGAAAAAAAAAAGTGGTACCTCACAAGATACCATTTGGGGATCCCTGATCTAACTCACCAGTTTGGCAGACACTGCCAACAAAGCCAGTGGCCCTACAGTCACAAGTGAATCTGTTCCAGCCTTCTATGCATGTGCCCTGGTGGCTACATGGGTAACTACTGCATTGGGGCTCTGTCTGCAACATTCAAAGAAATCATCTCTACAAGTTGGCAACTTAAAAAGTAGGAATACATGTAAAGTTGCATTGCAAAAAAAGAAAAAAAATACACACAAAAAAGAATCAAACTAAGAATTTATTACTTAAAGTTTTTGCTTCTAATAGTTTTATTGTTTGACATATTTTGTTTTGTTTCTTAATGTTTTTGTTAATGATTTTGGTTTCCCATACATTTTTCTTTTTAAACCTAAAGAAACCTCTTTTGTTTTACAAAACAATAGATAAAGATGTTCATATCAGCAATATTATAAATGCTTTCGCGATACAAAGCATTTTTTCAAAGTAGTTTAGAATCTTTAAAAATTAAGCAAAAAATGTTTATGGGTCATTTAAAATTAGCTTAGTCTAGAAAAGAAGTTACAGCGCGTTTGTGAGTTGAATTTAACCCTGGGTGTTTAGGTATGTTTATCCCAAGATTTAATGCAGGTATAAAAGCAGAGTGAACTATTTGTGAAGGAGCTAGTTTCAGGTTAGCTTGATTGTAGCGTGTTACGTTAAATTGAGGAAAAATGTGAACTAAATAAAAGGACCAAAACTGTTTACCATTTTGTTAAGTTGAAACAAAATTTAGAAAAAAAAGTAAAACGAATATTCACCTTTTTACAATGCCCAACAACATGAGATTTATTCTGTATTTTTGCAGCAGCCATTAAATCCACCTGGTTGCCATTGACAACTAGATCCTGCAAGCAGCCAACGTAGGACAGCCCTAGCATAACAGCCCAGAGCTCTTTAGGCAGGGAGGTAATATTAATTTCAGGACCTAAACCTCCGACATACAAGTGCCCATGGAAATCAAATCTGTCAGATATTTTAGCCGAGGTAAAAGATTCCTTTAATCCATCCACAGAAATGTATCCTTTGTTGTCTGCAAACTCAAAGTAAATATCATGGGGGGCACCATCAGACACTTGAGTCTTGCTGCCTTGGATCTGACAAAGATTAGAGAAAATAATTTAGAAATATTGATCTATAGTTCAATTTTTTTGCGGAGATGGTTTAGTCAAAAAAAGAGAATAAAGACAAAAAAACTAACTCAAATTTCATAATACATCTCCATAAATCTGACTTAATCTGGGCATATTTTTAGTATGACAGCATGGCTGAGAGGTACAGCGCTAGACTGCTAACCCAAAAGTCTCAAGTTCGGATGCCGGGCTTGAGTCTGTAAGACGTCCCTGATTCCACCCAGCTAAGATGGGTTCCTGACTTAAATTAGGGAAACAAACAAAGGCGGCTGGGCCTAGAGCTGACTAAACTATCTCCTTGTATGCTCAGTCATTGAAACAGATTTAATCTACTTCATCTTCCTCTGTCTTGGGCACGCACAGTAAAAGAGCAATATAAACAGAAAGTGATATTTCAACGCCAAGGGTCTGCCTGGTATCTGACCTGTACAGAACAAACATGTTTTTCAAACTGGTTTCATATTGTGATGATCCTTACTATACCTTACTATACCATCTCTTCAAATCCATCTCTTCAAATACCGAGGTTAAAGGCTATAAATCTACTTCATCTGCCTCTAAAAACTGATGGGTTTAAAAGGGTATATTACCTACTTTAGCAACTTAAAACAGCGCTCACCTTCTGAACACCTGAGCCAATGTCCAGTATCAGGTAGAGATAACCGTCCAGCAACTCTAACGCAAAAAAGTCCTTACTATCCCGGTCACCGTTGCTGTACATCAACAAACCCCCGGGCTCGACGGTTCTCAACTGAAAAGCCAGAGACCCCTTCATACTGTCGAAGATAAAGAAAAGAATCCCACTACAGACGGACAACTTTATTGTCATGGACTGGTATATGATGAGAAGTGAGGTGAATGATTGTCTAAGCTAAGTTGTTATAATAAAAACAGCAACTGCTAATGGTTTAAAAATGATGGTAAGTAATAACAAAACAATTCAATGCATTAAGAATAGTTTTCCCGATTTTATTAATAAATACCTGCCCTTCAATTAGATACATATTTTTCAGCTCTAGTAATAGTAAAGAAAAAAACCCATATAAACACGCATTTTAGCTAGTGAAACCAAAATTTAAAAATAAATAATTAACAATATAACAATATATAAGTATATTATTATATTTTTCTTAGACAATATGTAAATAGCTTTTGCGAGAAAGCAAGTCAATATTAAAATATGTGACTCAAATCTCTATACTGGTGTTTCTATCATTAGTAATTTTTTCCCTACTTTTTAATTCTAATAAATTAAAGCACAAATACAATTTGCTTTATTTCCAGGTGTTTTTTTAATGCATATAAGGCTCTTCTTAATATGATTTGTATTGCTAAACTTTATGCATATTTAAGTTGTTATTCAACACCTTTTATAGCAATAGTTTTATTTAACATATAATTTTCAACCAGGACAAAAATGTCAATTCTGGGATAGCCATTTAAGATATCAATTTTATAATTTTGGCTTTGAACTTCACTAATCAAACTTGTTTAACCTTGAAAAACTTCAAAATACTATGCCACTTATTATTTAAAAAAAGAAAAAATTTGAAAGAAAAACTTTGGCTCACCTTGACCTGTCCCATGTGGGGACAGTTAAAAATGAGCCAGGGGCCTCAAACGTGACAGGTTGAGACTCCACAAGCTCCTGGCATTTGTCAAAGATCACCTCCCCCACAATCTCCAGCAGACTGTGGGCTTTGCGGGCCAGTTCTGTAATGTCTATTCTGATGCTGTCTGCCTGGTATCTGACCTGTACAGAACAAACAAACAAACATGTTTCTAAATCTGGTTTTATATTGTGCTGGACAGTTTTTTAATCTGGTTTTATATTGCACTGGACAGTTTATAAATCAGGTTTTATATTGCACTGGACAGTTTATAAATCAGGTTTCATATTGTACTGGACAGTTTTAAATCTGGTTTTATATTGTACTGGACAGTTTATAAATCAGGTTTTATATTGCACTGGACAGTTTATAAATCAGGTTTCATATTGTACTGGACAGTTTTAAAATCTGGTTTTATATTGCACTGGACAGTTTATAAATCAGGTTTTATATTGCACTGGACAGTTTATAAATTAGGTTTTATATTGCACTGGACAGTTTTAAATCTGGTTTTATATTGCACTGGACAGTTTATAAATCTGGTTTCATATTGTACTGGACAGTTTTAAAATCTGGTTTTATATTGCACTGGACAGTTTATAAATCAGGTTTTATATTGCACTGGACAGTTTATAAATCAGGTTTTATGTTGCACTGGACAGTTTATAAATCAGGTTTTATATTGCACTGGACAGTTTATAAATCAGGTTTTATATTGCACTGGACAGTTTATAAATCAGGTTTCATATTGTACTGGACAGTTTTAAAATCTGGTTTTATATTGCACTGGACAGTTTATAAATCAGGTTTTATATTGCACTGGACAGTTTATAAATCAGGTTTTATATTGCACTGGACAGTTTTAAATCTGGTTTTATATTGCACTGGACAGTTTTAAATCTGGTTTCATATTGTACTGGACAGTTTTAAATCAGGTTTTATATTGCACTGGACAGTTTATAAATCAGGTTTTATATTGTACTGGACAGTTTTAAAATCTGGTTTCATATTGTACTGGACAGTTTTAAAATCTGGTTTCATATTGCACTGGACAGTTTTAAAATCTGGTTTCATATTGTACTGGACAGTTTTAAAATCTGGTTTTATATTGTACTGGACAGTTTTAAAATCTGGTTTCATATTGCACTGGACAGTTTTAAAATCTGGTTTCATATTGTACTGGACAGTTTTAAAATCTGGTTTCATATTGCACTGGACAGTTTTAAAATCTGGTTTCATATTGCACTGGACAGTTTTAAAATCTGGTTTCATATTGTACTGGACAGTTTTAAAATCTGGTTTTATATTGCACTGGACAGTTTTAAAATCTGGTTTCATATTGTACTGGACAGTTTTAAAATCAGGTTTTATATTGCACTGGACAGTTTATAAATCAGGTTTTATATTGCATTGGACAGTTTTAAAATCTGGTTTCATATTGCACTGGACAGTTTTAAAATCTGGTTTCATATTGTACTGGACAGTTTTAAAATCTGGTTTGAATGCAGTTTAACCTTACCTAGACCTATACATTCCTGAAGACAGTTCTTCAATGGAATTTTTTGTTATAAATATAATGCAATTTAGCAATGGAGGATCTACGTTCTCATTTAAGCTTAGAAGTTTTAATGGCTTTTAGATCCAAGTATACTTAATGTTATCTATGTTATAATAAATGCATTGCAACATTTCAATTTTATTCGTACAAAAAATTTCAAATCTGTCCAAACTTTATAGGCAGTTAAACTTCAAACTTTTCACATAATAATTTTGAGAATCGTCCGAACTACTTATACCAGCAAGTAATAAATACGATGTAATAATATTCTTGTTAAAGAGTGAAGGTTTTGCATACAATATCTTTTGTGTGCACTGTGATCTGAAATGACTTATATAATGTTTTTTTTGTGCGTGTTTCACAAAATGACCTCACAGTGGGTTTTCAACTATAGCATGGCAGTGCAACCTCGCAGCTTAGAGGGAACATTGCAACCTCACAGCTTAGAGGGAACATTGCAACCTTGCAGCTTAGAGGGAACATTGCAACCTCACAGCGTAGAGGGAACATTGCAACCTCATAGCTTAGAGGGAACATTGCAACCTCACATCTCAGAGGGATCATTGCAACCTTGCAGCTTAGAGGGAACATTGCAACCTCACAGTTTAGAGGGAACATTGCAACCTTGCAGCTTAGAGGGTACATTGCAACCTCACAGTTTAGAGGGAACATTGCACTTTGCAGCTTAGAGGGAATGTTGCAACCTCAAAGCTTAGTGTGAATATTGCAACCTCGCATCTTAGAGGGAACATTGCAACCTCATAGCTTAGAGGGAACATTGCAACCTCACATCTCAGAGGGATCATTACAACCTTGCAGCTTAGAGGGAACATTGCAACCTCACAGCTTAGAGGGAACATTGCAACCTTGCAGCTTAGAGGGAACATTGCAACCTCACAGCGTAGAGGGAACATTGCAACCTCACAGCTTAGGGGGAACATTGCAACCTCACAGCTTAGAGGGAACATTGCAACCTCACAGCTAAGGGGGAACATTGCAACCTCACAGCTTAAGGGGAACATTGCAACCTCACATCTCAGAGGGAACATTGCAACCTTGCAGTTTAGAGGGAACATTGCAACCTCACGTCTCAGAGGGAACACTGCAACCTAGCAGTTTCGAGGGAACATTGCAACGCAAGAGTTGAAAGAGGGACTCACTTTTCTCATGCAACCTTTGAAGTTGGTCCTGACTTTAGACCCAGCCAACTTCTCCGTGTTGGGACTGCCAGCAACATACAGTACGTTGCTAGTGAGCCGCACAAATTTCCCCGACGTGCTCCCTTGCTCTTTGTACATCCCATCCAGTTCAACGTAGATCTGAAAATAAAAATAACAAAACAACTCAGGAAAAATTGGACTCGGTCATGTATAGCTTATCATATACAGCTGATTAGTTTAGCAAAAAAAAAATTTAGAAGATGAACGCATTTTTAATAACTTCTCATTATAAATTAATGGGAATGTAATTTCTTATAGCTTCTAGTCTGAATTACAATAGAGGTGACCAATAAACTGGTGTGTGGTCAAACATGCGATTAATTAAGTGAAATGTTTCTTAAACCGTTACATTACAATAGATGCAGATTAAAATTTTTTACAACATTTAATTTCCTTTTTTTTCAGTTACTTCCTTTTTTAAGTAAAATTTTAAAACTTTCAAGAAAAAGCTCATGTTTCTTCCTTTATTTGTTGAAAATTCTGTCACATAAATAGTAATGCCTTCTTGAATGAAGCTTTATTTATCAAATAAGTACTTTGCCATAAAGTAGTGCAACACATGATGAATACATTTGACTGATCTATTACAAATTACAGTTTCTATGTTCCAGAACCATTTGTTTTGATTATTAACCTTCAAGAAATTACAATATGATGATTGAAACTACTTCACTTTCAAATTCTAGACATTAAAAACAAATGAGATAGCATATACAAATTCTAACAACCTGCAAAAAAGATAATGTTCATATTTTCATAACTCATCTCTTGTAGGAAATGGAATTGCTTTTATATCTGTATAAAGTGCTTTTAGCACACATAAATAATTATATTTTTGTTAGCATACACTAGGCTTCTGATTGAAACTCCAAGATCACTGCTCAAATCACAGTTTAAAAAGTCGTATAAAACAAACTTACGTAAACACTTTTTGAAAATAATAATATATCTAAAATAATGACAAGAGATTTCAATCAAGGTTTTTGAAAAAATTACAAAGGAATTTAATTATGGAAGTATTATTTCCATGCCTACAATTATGCTTGCAAAAAGAAAAGTCAGGAAAAGTTAAAATTTTAATAAATGTCTACATGAACCAAACATTTTTTTTATTTATTAGTCATTTAACACAATGGTTCTCAATATTTTTTTTTATCATGTAACCCATGTAAGATTTTTAAAAATTTAGACCCAATATTAGCTAAAAAGCTTTAATCAACTAAAGGTGATAAATAACAACAGGGATATTTTGTTCTTTTTCCTGTGCCCCAATGTCATAATTGTGTTGGAAACAGTATAACTGTATTAGAAAGTGGTACAGCAAGGAAAGCACTATTTCTGTATTTGAATAAATACGTTGTTGTTACCGCAAAGGAGTTAGAAATGTTGAAACTTTGTTAGTGGTACTGTTTCATGCATCTGCTATATCTTTGGATGCCACATTTAAATTAAATGTAATGGTTTATTTTTAACAAGCATAAATTGCAGTACTATACAGTTGTGCATAGCGAAAGCTTTTTCTTTCACTATCTTAATGAACTTTCATGATATGCTATATTCAAATTAAATGTAATGGTTTATTTTTCACAAGCATAAAATACAGTACTATACAGTTATGCATCGTTAAGGAAAGTAAAGGCGGCTGGGCATAGTGCTGAGCACACTATCTCTTCATATGCTGAGGTCACAGAAACAAGTGAACTCTACTCCACTTGCCCTATAGGCCGTCAGGTTTGAAAAGGGAACTTTTTTTTACAGTTGTGCATAGCAAAAGCTTTTTCTTACATTATCTTAATGAGCCTTTATAATATAAGCCGTCACACATTACTTAAAAAAATTGTAAAAGATATTAAAGTCCCTCGGCTTTATTCTAGAGTAAAACTTCATCTAGGCTGCATAACAAAACTGTGTGTATTGAGAACCACTGCCTTGAAACTTATTCAACAAAAAGTATTAACAGAATTTAAATGGTCATCGATTCAATTGTATTGTAGTTTGGTCTTTGACTTTCAAAAGATTTAACCATAGGGAATTTCATTCTATACATGTACAAAGCACAACACCACAAGCACATTACTTGTGTACCAAAGCAAGTACCTGTTAGAAAATGCTTTTAAAAATCAAGTCCCCTTCCCTTAATAAAGGCTAATTTTTTTCCTCCATTCCCCAAATTAAAACAGATACATTGAAATTTATCGATTCCTTTTTAACCAAGACAGTACAGCCTAATCATGCAGCTATAAACAAAAGAGAAAATAGCAACAAAATTAAATTGAAAAAAAATGTTGTCTCTTCTAGAATTAATGATAGCTTTTATTTCTTAACAACTGTATAATTAAGATAACATAATCAAGTTTTATAGCCAATGATGTCTTTATTAGAAATGTGTTTCTTTTTTAAAATTCATACAATCAAAGGAAATGTAATTTTGCTATCGAAATATTTTGTTGCACAGATATGAAATAGAAAAAAGAAAAAAAAGACACAAAACAACATTTAAATACAATAAACAACATGAAATATTTTTTTTAATGTATAAAATAGTTTTATAGACATAAAACTGAATGTAGTTTTAACATGGTTTTAAATTCAGCATGAACATGATAAAATTAGATAAACCCAGCCCTTAATATATTGTATTTAATCTCTGACCTAAGCCTCAAACTTTATATTACATAATGTGTTGAATCTATGTCTTAGATATAAGGGAAGCAACAATCGACATGCAACAAGCAAATAGCCCAATGTTTAGATATTATATGAGTTAATCTACCAGACCACACTAATTGGGTTAATTAGGAAACACAAAGCTGACGAAGCACTGGACTACACTCACACAGACACGACCACCACAATAAGAGCTGTGCTTTGGTGGAAAAAGGGTGTGCGCATGCCTAACCGTGCTAGATTTTACTTACATAACAAACACCTTCGTCCCTAGTAAGCTAGACAGAAGGACGCAACAAAGAGAGAAAAATTCCTGATGTTATTTGAATGTTTTGTGTCGTTATCTGAACACAAACATATTTTTAACAAAGCTGGTTAAGTGGTATGTGAACAAAGTTTCAACATATTGATGTGCATGCCAAAATGGTGTATAGAAATCATATTCAAAGATCTTCAGCTTTAGAGATTAAGAATTCATAAGCAATATGCTGCGTCAGATCAAAACAATGTTTTGTGTTTCTTATTTGTGCTGATAAATATCATTTTATAAAATATGATGCACAGATGCATTTTTGTTATTTGGCTTAAGAGAAATAATAGCATAAAAGGTTCAACAAAAAAAATGAATTTAAATCTAAGGAGATTTTTCATGCATAATTCAATGAAAAATTGTGTATATACATTAAACTGCTATATGAATGATAACTTGAAATAAAATATTGGAACAGTAAAAATGTTAAGGATGTCTAGAATATAAAATGTAAATGTAAAATAAAAATAAAATAACTATTTAAAAAAAACTAAAGTTATTAGCTAAATAAACATTTTTTTGTCTTCCCATGAAACATTGTCTCCCAATGATGTAAAATGTGTAGCTAGTGGGACTGAGTGTTTGGGGATACAAAACTTATAACTTAAAAAGGGGATTTGTGGGTAATTTTAGTGCTCCAGTCTAAGCTAGATTACTACATTAAGGGTTCTTAACTTTTTTTAAAACTCTGTCAATGATTTTATTATGCACATAAATGTAAAAAAATAACCTAACCAATTGAACCAACCATACTGGAGGAGTTCTTTATTTTTAGTTGTTTTTATTATAAATCGCTTATTAACTATGTAGTAACTTAATCTTAAAATAAAATTAATCACTTTTTAAAATTGTAATTTCTGTGTCAATTTTTAGTTTTAATGGGGAAAAAATAAATAAACCCAAAAAGATATTTGAAACAGAGTTCTGTGTTAATCCTAAACCAAAAATGTAGACAGCGTTAGTTAAGAACCCTGTACTACACTAAACAATATGAATTAAACAGCGCTAGGAATGTAAACTACACCAGCAATTGGGGATGAACATGACTGCTGTGTTGTGTACACAAATACACTGAACATTGGGCAGTGAAAGGTCAAACTCGGAATTTTATTGACGAAAAAAAAAACACAACTAAAATGTGAAAAAATTTCATTCAGGCAGGTTTTGCAAATAGTTGGAGCATATTTACACAGGTAAAAAAAATGGAGATAAATATATAATATGAAGTATTGCAGAAAAATTAATTTCTTTAATGATGTAGAAAAATCAATAATAACAAAATGAAAAAACTTATTGCGTTTTTTATTTTAAAACTGTTTGAAATTGATTTTGCTGGATTTAAAAAAAAAATACTTAATCTATTTCCATAATTTGTATTTTTTTTTTGTTAGATTATTGAACTGAATTTGGAAAACAATGAAATCTAATGAAGCAGTTTTTTTTTTATTTTCCTTAAAAATTGTGACAAACATGGTTAAACATTTTTTTTTTAATTCTCTTAGAGTCGAATGATTTAAATCTGTTGATAAATTTGCTTCTCAAGTAAAGTACAATTATTTCCCTTGAAAAACATTGAATTAAACACCTTATTTTTGGGTTAACAATTTGCAATTATACAACAGTAAGGAAAAACAATTCTGTTTCAGAATGAAAAATACTAAGCAGGTATTTGATTTATAGAAATACAATGGTTGAAAAAAGAACAGTATTTTCTTTTCATACTGTTTATCGCTACTAATTCTATTATTTATATTTTTTTTTACAAAACTTTAAGATAACTTATAATGTATTTTTTTAAGCTTTAAAAAAACACACACTGATGGTTGAAAAAAAAAATGAGTATAGTCATTGATGAAGAAAGACTAATTTTACCTCTTTAGCCTCCCTGTGAATGATGAGTTGGTGCCAGCGGTTGTCATCAAACCTTGTGTGGGGCGGACGGATCTCAGCTTTATACATCCCAGATCCAAGGTTCACAGTGATAAAGATCCCCCCATCAATGATGCCTGCTGTGATGTAGTCTTTGGAATTTCCTAAGAAATGAAATATATATGACAATCTTGCATCACACATTAAAAAACGTCAAGACTTTGCTTTTAATCAACTGTGTAGAGAAGAAGGGCCTCTAAACGATATCATTTTAAATTTTTATTTTTAGAGAGATGATGAAAATAAATTAAATGAGATTAAATAAAATAAACATTAAGAGTGTTGACAACATATTTTATTAAATAACCAACAAACTGACTGGTGGAAAAAAAATTGAGATTTGACCAAAGGTATACTAGTGGGTTTTTGGTACTTATATTATGCATACATACTCATTTATGTTATAATTTTATATAATATAATTAAAAACATATAAAAAATAAAATGTATTTAGGATGTTTAAGAATCTCATTTGTTTATTTAGAAATTCAAATTTGGTCTAGCCATTAAAACAATGAAGTTAATGTAAAAACTAACTTTTTAAAGAAATATGTATATGCTTAATGCTTCCTTTCCTGATATCAAATACTCACTATAGAAACACATTTTTTAAGATAAGGAAACAAATTTTCCTGCGCTGCTGAAAAGTCCTAGCACAAAATGTGATTTAAAGGAAGACAATCTACAGTTGTTTTTTGCTTACTAACATAATCATAATGATAAAAAAGGGTTTTAAAATTGTAGTATTAGATGGATCTATGACTGTATATTATTACTATAAAAAAGATGCAATATTAAATATTAATGTATAAGATCAAATTATATTTAATATAAGCTAAGTGCATCATGCTCATTGCTCAGCCCCCCCCCCCCCCCCTTGTCACAAAACAAAACCAGTATAATTTCAATTAATTTCTATCTAGATTCTAGGGCTAACAAATAACAATTTACAAAAACGGTCTACAAAATGTTTAAAAATAAATAAATAACGCTAAAACGAAGTTTCTCACTTTACCTCCCAAAATATTGAAATCAAAAGTCAGTGTTCTCACACTTTCTTCTAAACCTCCCCCCCCCCCCCCCTATTATTACTATTACCAAAGTCAGACAGCTCCCTTCCCCGTACATACCAAGAACACCTGGTACAAAAATGCTAGATTAGATCTCTAGATGTCTAGATCTAGAATCTAGATCTAATTGACTTATTTTTCACTGGACTCTTCACTACTCTACTACAGTCTTCGATATACACAAAAAGTCTATCGAATAGCAGACGATCATAGATCTAGAATCTAGATCTAGATCTAGATCTAGTAATAAACCATTCAAGCACCATTTAAGCACAGCATATCTCAGATCTGTTGAGATTAGGCTAAAAATAGATCTAGACTAGAATCTAGATCTAGATCTAGATCTAGATCTAGATTCTAGATCTATTATAAGCCTTACATGAAAAGTAATTTCATATCTGATGGTGACACTTAATTTATTTATAAATATCGCGTTTTAAGTATTTAATAATAAAATAATGTTCCATGTTTTACACTGTCTTGTTGAAACAAAATATTCTACGTAAATACGACGAGACATTTATAAAACTACCACAATAAATCTTTTTTTTTTAAATTATAGGGCTTGTATGTTTCTTTAGCTGCGAAAATGTTTGGATGTGTGTGGTAGAAGGGGCTAACCAGTGTTTCTTTCAAAACTTTTTTTCACTGGGGGAGGTGGGGGGGGGACTTGAAATATTCCGGGGGGGGGGGGGGAAGGGCGGACACTGGAGATAGTTTATATTTTCTATATACAACTTCTATTTCGTTCGGGGTGGGGGGTGCAGTATACATTTTTTTTCGGGGGGGGGGGGGAGGGGAGGGGTCTTTCTCCTCTTCTCCCGAAGAGATCCTTGAAAGAAACTCCGGGGATAACCAACCCCCATATCTGCTCAAAGACCCACAAATGCTCACAGCTATGAAAAAATAAAAAAAAACAACGAAACTCTAATTACAGAAAGTAATTGATCGAATGCAAATACTGCTGCCAGATCGTTAAAAACGTTTCCCTTCATTCTGCTCCTTGCAGCCGACACTTTTAATTTTCACCCTTGCTGAATAATCAATCAAAAACTCCACATAAATTTAAAGAAACAGCTTTTTTTTAAAAATTGATTGACTGGTGTGTTGGCCATCTGAGATTTTATGTCGTGCTGTGATTAATTGTTCAACGACAGGCTACATAATAATACCATAAGTTAAAATACGTTTTCAAAATTTAAGAATTGAATTGATATGCTACATTTTATAAAATGGAAATCATATTTTTTAATTGCGCACATCCTAATACATTTCGCTTTTTACACTAATAAAACTATTTTACAAAAATGATTTATAATTATGTTTTTTATTGGGTTTTCTATGTCGACTCGGATTCAGTGAGAGAGTACATTTAAAAAAAATATTTTTTTTAAAAACCGAATGAAGTAATATTCTTCTTCTTTTTCGTTCCTTGAGGTAATATTAAAAGGAATTCCCAGCAACATGTTACGAGTCAACATAACTGTTAAGCGCAGTACGGTCCATTAAATCCAACTTTAGCCTGCTTTTTATGGATTTGCTTCCATAGGCCCTAACCTGTGTTCACCCAAGAATGATCTACACAAGGCAGCAGTTGTTTGATTTGGGAGTTCTCTCTCCTAGATGGGTTGCTGCACTCAGCTGAAAACTCAGCAAGCCTCATCTGCGCGGGGGCTAAAATTGGGGCTTTTGGAGTTAACAATCACATTCTTTCTTGCCGTACCACGCCGTCTCGGTACTAATATTAACATTATTTTTTTTCAAATAAAATTTTACGAATACGATAACTAAGTTATTTTTTTTTTTAAAATGTGTATTGTTAGTCTTTGACTTTATTGAAAAATAGGGCTTGCTTGCAATATTAAAGACTCTAGCACTCTAAGCACCCACTGAGAGGGCATATACAGAGTATAAAAATTATAGCATTAATTTCAAGTTGGTTATGGCTATAAGGTATTTGGCTATAGGTTAGGTCACCGGGTGTTAATTAGACGATTGATAATTGCATCCAGGTACCCAACAAGCAAGCGTCTCATCAACATTTAAATTTTAATTGTTGTTTTTTTTTTAAATTGTGTCTTTTAATTGTTTTATTATTTAAAAAGTGTTTTTTAATTAGCCTCCGTTCGAATTTTACTAGTAGTAGATTATTTATAGAAAGTGTGTAATAAACCTCACTCTTTCAGTCTAATAAAATCAACACACACATACACACACACACACATATTTTACAGAAACCCAGCAGACACCACCAATCCCAACACATAAACAAAACCACCACCCCACCTTCCCTCCCACACACACATAAAGACCCACCACAACCCCACACACCACATAAATACCCACCACAACCCCCACACACCACATAAATACCCACCACAACCCCACACACCACATAAATACCCAACACAACACCACACACCACATAAATACCCAACACAACCCCACACACCACATACACACCACAACCGCCACCATAACCCCACACACTACATAACACACCACCACCACAACCACACAACTTCTTAACACCAGAACCCCACACACCACACAAACATCCTACCACAACCCACACAACACACACCTTACCACAACCATACACACCACATACACCACTACAACCAGACACGCCCCACAACCCCACCACAACCCCACACACCACATACACACCTCCACTACCCACAACCCCATACCACTACACCACCCACACAACCTAATTAAACACCCTACCACAACCCCACACCCCACCACCACCCCACACAACACATAAACAAGCAACCCACCACAACCCCACACACCACATACACACCACCACCACATCCACACGCACCCCACCACAATCACACACTAGCACATACACACTACCATCTCCACCTCCTCCCACACACACTCGTAGATACCACCAGAGCCGGCGCTACCTATAAGGCAAACTAGAGGGTCGCCTAGGGCGCCATCCTTAGTGGGGGCCCAACAGATTTAATCGCTATTATAAACAAATACCTAATAATTAATAGCTTTCATAAAGGAGTAGCGATCTATTTCAGCACCCAGGACGAACTATTTTGCGCCCCCACCCCAAAATTAGGTCCATATAGGCCTATATTTATTCGCGATGGTGAAAATGCAACCCCACCTCCCTAACTTGGAAAGGTGGGGGCGCTTTTTACCAGTCACTTTGCCTTTTTAATTTGGTGTCAAAAATTGTGTAGAAAACGATTAAATAAGTTCGTAATATTTAAATTCGAACATTTCAAAACGGTTATCTAATTTTAATAGGGTTTGTAAGTCTCGTTTTCTCTGACTTTGAATTAGAAATCTGTCCTGGTGTATAGAGTTTTGTAATGACAG